GGTGATGACGATCTGGCGATGTTGCGACAGAGTTGAAGCGCATGCCTGGATTTTCAATGGTAAAGAAGCCGGGGGCGCTAAATACCAGGTTCGAATACCTGTTGGCAAAGCACGAGACGGGGGAGAGTGCGTCGTTGCGCAAGTCGGGGACAACCGAGGAGTACTCTGAACACGACCAGCTCCTGACAGACATCAAGTTGCGCATGGACGATTTTGCCAAGAACGAAGCCGCGCGCAAGGATGCTGCGAAGCGGAAACTGGAAGGCGTCGAGAATTCGGGATTGGTCATGCGCCAATTGGCCATGGCAGAGCTTGAAACGTCTGCCAAGAAGATCGAGGACGCTGAGATCACTCCGATCAAGCAGAGCAAGAAGTCGAAGAAACCAGCTCCTACCCTCGATATTGCGAGCCTTATGGGCATCATTCGTGAAGGCATTGAGAACAAGGAGCGGCGTGAGGCGCAGCGTTTACAATATGATCGTGAACAAGCTAATCGCCATGATGAGCAGCTTGCTGCGCAACAACGTAATAGCGCAGGAAAATGATCAGGATAGGCACTGGCGGCATCCATATGCTGGGTCGCCATACAATCAGTAGCGTGACAGAACCCCGTCTTCCTTCATCCTGTCCAGTATGCGGCTCACGGAGAGCATAGTGGAATCATGGCGTCGCCCCTCTACCGGCCCATACATGCTGATGATGATGCCGTCAGGAGCGGTGATGCCTTGCCAGTTCAGACAATGGCGACGGGGGTGACCGTTGTACACCGAACGTTGAAGGTTCACCTGCTCTTGACCTTCTGCTCGCGCCGACGGACGGCTGATGTACTGCTTCGCCCCATCAATGAACGCAACACAGGTGTGCAACCCTCTGAGGCCACTCTTCGACTCGATCGCACCGGAATAGATTTCTACTGACATACTTACAACAGAAATACGTGTTAACACGTACCAACTCGGTCTATGAGCAAGGCTTCGTGAAAGAGGATCACATCGCTCCAAGTCTTGTACAGAGAAGTTGCGGTTGCGCGGACGATGCGGCTGCAGGCCTCGACGGAACGCCCGAATTCATCTGCAATGGTGAAAAGTCGACAGGGCTCAGTCAGGCGTCGACACAAGATTGCAAGTGCCTCGAGCGACACCACTTGATCGGAGCTCGGTGTACTGATAAAGGCTGGCAGTCGTAGAGCCACAGCGAGCACGCGGAGTTGGTCGATTGTGAACCGGAACTTGTGCACTGCCGTGTCGTTGTGCATGTCATGGTCGAAATTGTTGTTGTACAAGACTATTGGCTTCTCGGGCCTCAGTCTCATGAATTTGGATACCATTAAGCCTTGAATTACGGTGAGAAACATGTCGAAATCACCATGGCACTGCTGCATTACGCAGGCAATAAGGGACACCAGCTCTCTATTGCGAAGGAGATTTTTGACCAGTAACGTAATCCGGATAATCTAGGAGTTAACTCAAAACCTTTCCGAAAGTTGCCCGAAAGTTTAAATTGCTTGGTTTTCAGTTCATTTCCACAAGTTGAATCTTAACTGAAAAGCTCTTACGAAAACTCGCAAATAACGTTACTTCGATTGAAAACAGACTTCCGGTTACAGAAATGATGGAAATGATGGTCGTCCAGTCACTTGAAGTGATTCGACGCCGTACCTACCGTCCAGTTTTGGGGTTGAGTGACCGATTTTGTATTGGACCAATGCAAATCAACCAAGTCCCAAATTTTGACCACTCAGAGATCAACCTCAGTTGGCATTCTTCAAAGCAAGTGACTGCGCTGCACGACATGGATCCGTCCGAGTGGCATGCGCTGGGGAAGGCTCAGTACCAGAAGCATCGGCTGTTCGAGATGGCGCCGTCGTGGAAGGAAGAGGTGGCGTCCCTTGGTGACTTGAAGGAGTTTCTCGTCGTCCCAGCGCAATTCGGCGGTCCGATTGCAATGATCCGCGACCCGTCCCGCTTGGTCAAGATGGACTCGAAGGGGTCGCTGTCTCGCACGCTGTACATTTTCAACGCATGCGGGGCCAAATTGGCGTCCATTAGTTTCTCGTCGTACGACACGAAGAAGAAGACGTTGTTCGGCATGTTCTGGACTGACGAGATGCGGTTGATGTGCGTGTTTGACGACGGCGACTGCGTCAGCTACAGCATCATGGGGTCCGTCGAGACATCGTTCGCGCTGTTTCCCGCAGACTCTCGGTTCAAAGTGATCTCGTTCGAGTCGTGGGGCGGCGGGCTCGTGGCGCTCCTGGACAACTTTATGATCGCGCAAGCACTCGACATCGATTCGGTCAAGCCGCGGGTGTACTGCATCACCGACACGGGCGTGAGTCCGACCAACCCTCCCACGTGCATGGCGGTGCTAGACCCACGGTTCGTCAAGTCTGGTATGCCCGAGATCTTCCTCGGGACGTCGTCGAACTCGCTGGTGATCGTGAGCAAGGGCGCGTCGTCCGGTGAGGCCAACAAAGTGATGGACATGCAGCTGCAGAGCTCAATCAAGGCGCCGATCAGCAAGATCGCCATCGCCCCCAACGGCACGTTCATGGCCGTCTTCTCCCAGGACGGCACCCTCACGGTTCTGAACACGACGTTCGACAAGAAGATCCTGGCGTTCGACACGCAGAGCAAGGCAAGCCCTGCCGCGATGCTCTGGTGCGGCGAGGACTCGGTGCTGCTGTACTGGCAGAGCGTGGGGGTGATCATGGTGGGGCCGCTAGGGTCGTGGCTCAAGTTCCCGTGCGACGACGGCCCCGTGGTGCTGAGCCAGGAGGTGGACTGCTGCCGCATCTACAGCTCCAACTCCCACCAAGTGCTCATGCGCGTGCCCCGGGCCACAGAGGACATCAAGCGCATCGGCAGCACGGCGCCGGCGGCCATGCTCCTGGACGCCCTCGACGCGTTCGATTCGGGGGACGCCAAAGCAGACGAAAACATCCGGTCCATCCAGACCCAGCATACGCTGGAACAAGCCATCACCGACTGCATCACGGCGGCAGGTCACGAGTTCGACTACACCGCCCAGAGCTCGCTGCTGCGCGCGGCGTCGTACGGCAAGTGCTTCTTTGACAACTCGGACGCCGCCGCCAGTTCCAACTACGACTCGGAGTTTTACGTGGACATGTGCCGCAAGCTCCGCGTACTCAACGCCCTTCGCAAGCCGGCGATTGGGCTGCCGCTGACGCTGGCGCAGTTTGACCGGCTGTCGTGCGAGGTGGTCGTGTCGCGCTTGGTCGCGATGCGCCATCATTTCCTTGCGCTCAAAATCTGCGACTACATGAAGATCACGTCGGACCGCGTGCTCGTGCATTGGGCGTGCGAAAAGGTACGACGCATATATATATATATATAGTGCATTACTTGTGTGAGTGAGTCGTATGTGGCCAAATACTTGCATTCGAATCCATATTTGATCTAATTAAAGCTTGTACAAACTATCCCATACAAAAATAAGTATATAAATAAAAATGTGGTTTTGCCCCATGTGGAGGGACAAACGTTTGGATTGGCAGAAATTCACTAGAACGTGGTTATTTGATTGGCTCGGATGATTTTTGATTCGATTCTCTTGAGACACTCGATTCTGCTGACGGCGGCTGCTCCAGTTTCGAATCGCATTTGATAATATATATATATATATATATTCTAAAAAAGACAGGGACAAAACGCGGAGATTGCAATATGCGTTGTTGTAGGTGAAATCGTCGTTTGAAAGCGCTACACCTGGGGGAGGACCTCCCATGACGGACGAAGCAATCGTGTCGATGGTGCGCAAGAAGCTCAAGGACGCCACGTTGGTCTCGTACTCAGAAATTGCGAGTTGCGCCGAGCGCGCGGGTCGCCATCGGCTCGCGACCATGTTGCTCGACCTGGAAGAGAACGCTTCCGACCAGGTGCCGCTGCTGCTGTCCATGGGCGAGTTCGAACTGGCGCTGCGCAAATCGCTCGAGTCGAGTCACACGGATCTGATCTACCTGACGCTGTTCCACATGGAGCGCACAATGCCGCCCGACGACGTCCGCCGCGTGCTCCACAGCGAGCCGCAGTATGCCGAGGCGATTCACCTGCTCGCAATGTTTTACATTGCCACGCACGCCGACAGCTCCAAACTCGGTAATATGACGTGGCTCGTGTGCTACAACAGCCAGAAACAGGATGGTTTTTGATTGGTTGTTGATATATATGTGGTATTTGCCTAGACAATATTTGGCACGAAGTGTCGTCGGCGAATCACGACGTGCTGACGTCGTTCACAGAGCGCAACACGGACGGAAAGCTGAAAAAGCTCAAGGACGCCATGGCCAAATACAACAGCGCCAAGCTCCCGATTAACGCCAAGCTCACGGAGGAACACATGGAGTTGCTCATGGAGCAGCGCAAGTTGGACGACAAGGCGACCGGCGGGCCGAATGTCGTGTACGTGGGCATGTCCTTGAGCGACACGATCCGGCACCTGTGCATGGACGCGGCGCGCGAGCCCAAGTCGCTGCAGGTGGCGGCGGCGATCGCCAAGAAGTTTAAAGTGCCCGAGAAGCGGTTCTACCGCGTCAAGATCAAGGCATTGGCCGAGACATTGCAGTGGGACACATTGCACAAGGTACATATATATATATTATATATTGTGCTTTCGAGTGAAATTTCGTGTTGTGGTGTGGTTTCTCGTTGGAATTTAAATCGATTTGATTGGCTACCTCAGATGATCTCAACATTATTAGCCAATCAAAACCCATTTCTCAATGAAATTCAACCAATCATATCGATTGTGGATCGGTTTGGTCGGCGCGGTTCGATTGATAACCCCAAATTTGTATCAAATCGACAATATATATTGAGAGAGGGTTAACACAATGTGGTGGTTGGATGCGCAGTTTTCCAACGAAAAGAAGACGCCGCCTTGTGGGTTCAAAGCGTTTGCAATTGCGTGCTTACACCAAGGCGAGAAGGGCCAGGCCGAGTCGTATGCGTCGCGCATCACCCAACCGGACGAGAAGTTCGACACGCTCGTGCACTTGCAGATGTGGACGGCGGCGCTCGACATGGCCGTCAAGCTGAAAGACCCCGACAAGCTCTCGAGTGTGCGCAACAACTGCCCGCTGCCAGACATTCACGCTCAAATCGACCACGCGGCGCAGCAATTGGGCTTTATCTAGGGCTTCATCTCCCGACAAGTGTCTACATGAACTAGAAGCGTGTTGATTGATGTAACGTTCGACTTGCCCATAATTCGCGAACCAACACACATGGGGGGGTCGTCCACCCCCCCATGTGGGGGAAATGGGGGGAATAGGTGAAAATGGGGACAGCAGGGTCGACATGGACAGGAAGGGGCGTGAACATTTACTTGGTTTCACAGTATTAACGTTTATTTGACGCTTGAACAATCACAGCCTTGGATTCTCTCCACACAATCTCAAGGTATAGTACGTAGTAATACTAACGTTTCAATAGTATTACTAGTAAGCTCATATTGTCGATTTGATACAAAAAATTTGGACGCCAGTGATCCGGTCTGATTGGCTTAATTTACGAAAGCTCGGTGGTGGGATTGGCTAACGACTTTATACTATCGAACGTCCATTTTGCGCGCCATTCTTCAATCAGCATTCGACGAGCCATGACTACAGCAACAGTCCAGCCTGGAACACGCGATCGTCGCAGATGTCCCATCGACACACTCGCAAGGCGACCACGGACACTTTGCGCGAGTAGCACCCGGTTGCATCGTACTTGGTGATCCAGTTCCAAATTGTTTGCTCGTTCTTTCCGTACACAGCAGCAAGCTGTCGACGCTTCATCCCCAGGAAGAAGTGGCCGTACAGACAGTGCATGACTGTGTTCGGACTTGCATGCTGTGAGATTGCCGACTCGATGGTGCGCTCCGTCGTCTTGCCGGTTGGTGTGCGTCTGCTTTGTCCTGGAAATGTCTTTTCTGTCGTTTGACCCAATCAAATCATGGCAATTTTGAAAGCGCCAATCGAATCGATTTACGAACGACGCGTGGTTTTTTAGGAATTCACGCCAAAATCCAAATGTTCGCTCGAAAGCACAATACTGGAAGTGACTACATTCTACTGTGCATGGGTTCGTCATGTGAAGAACGTTTGGATCTACAAGGTGCCGCTGCTCACTTCTTGTCTGATTGGTGGATCGGAAAGCGCAGGAGTCTGAGTCGTCCAAACGGGCCGTTGTAGTTTCAAGACTACTTGACCGGAGTACCAATCAGACGAGGTGAAAGTTGAGTTGACTGTGAACCCAAAAAGCAACTTCGGCCTAACGTTACCGTAACCTTAGGCCGAAGTTGCTTTTTGAGTTCAACTAGTTGCTAACGTTACGGTAACGTTAGGCCGAAGTTGCTTTTTGGGTTCAACTGCAGAGCAATCAACAGGCGTACGTGACAGATGGTGGCGGGCTGATTACGATGATGTCTCTTGAAAACAGAGGATTCCGGATACTCTCCGCTCCATCCCACCATTATCCGGATACTCAAAATTGCCGCGCAACGGACGAACAACATCTTTGAGGACTCCCCTGCTCATGTAATTGCGACGAGGAAGCACGTTGTCTTGTGATCTTGCCACGGCGCAATTGAAAGCTCTGTACGCATCCAGTCTCGACTGCATTTACCTGGTAACTTATCGCCGAACACACACGATGTTTGTTGCACTTCATGATCCGGCAATGAGAGCTCATATGAGAGCTCACGTTGGAGTAAACGTCCATATTCCATGTGTCCCAGTTGTCAATATCCGGGTATGGACCACATGGTCGACAACGCCATCACAACCTTACTACTAGTACTTCGGAGTAGTACTAGCTAGTACTGCACTACGTATGTACTCCGAGTATGTACCATGGTTTACTGGGTAGTGGCCAACATGTGAGTATCCGAGCAAAACTTCGACAACAAGTCAAAACTTCGACGTGAGTAAGTACTTCGTACTAGGCGTACTTAACAGGAAATTGGTTCTTTTTCCACCACGCGTGCGTACCACTAACAGTAAGTGCTTGTTGTCTTGATATACTGAGTTTCGAACGTAATCGACGAAGGCGCTCCCGAGTGAAACGTCATTCAAGGTTGAGTCGCGTGTCTCCATTGCGTTCGTCGGGCACCTCATTTTTGCTTTCCATCCGCCGTTGGGTTGTCCTTACTACAGTACAACAATGAATATCACCACCAATTATTTTGTCCTTGTTAAGTACGCCTCGTACGAAGTACTTACTTGTCGAAGTTTTGCTCAGATGATACTCACATGTTGGCGATTACCCCCGGTTTACTACGTATTCAACCGACCGTCGACGTCAACGTGCGCACTCCGGTCCGTGTGTCGCCTGTCATCCTGCTCTAACGTCGTGCTCCATCTAGTATGACGAAACTCCATTGTTATTTGCATGCCAGGCCCGATATGTTGACATCGTTCGGCTGTGCTCGCCCACCCCAAGACAAACGTCAACTACTCCTATTGAGCAATCACATTGCGCCACCCAAATATCTGATCGGCGGGCGACCTTGAACATTTAGTCGCACTTAATTGACTCTATATTAGCGAATAACCTCTGAAAGTACATATCGTACTTAATTCCGACATGGGCAGTCATTTCGCCAGGACCATGATTGTGCCCTGTTTGCTCCTAGGTGAACTATCCGGATACTTGATTTGCCTGGTCTTTTTTATTTTGCTAACTACAGCTTTAGTGACCGGATATCTACCATCACAAGACTAAACCACTCTAAATCGTTGTAATCAATACGAAAACGAAGTAAGAATTGTATTTAAACCCATTATTGCCCCAAGCATAATATTACGTTGTCTATTTTGAAACGTATTCGGACACGACTTGAAATGAAATCGTAAAGAGAGTGGGTCGGAGAGTGCACTGTCCGTCGTCGTCGGCTGTTTAGTCTGCAAGTGGGTGGAGAAGTGTTATCGTGACAGGAACAAGCAGTGGCATACACCCCACCATTCTGCACAATCAAGTCCACCAACATCAACGGCTGTGGCGGCGACAACATGAGCTCATTGTACACCCTGCCTCCGCTTCGGATGCTATCAATATCCTCTGGTGCGGCGCCCTCAACCTCGATGTTGCCAAGGAATCTGCCTCCACCCTACCCAGACCGTCGGCTCCCTCCTCGCCACCCAAGCTGCGAAGATCGATCGATGGCCTCCAACGACGACCAGAACAAGGTAATCGTCGTCGGACTCTGCAAGAGTGTGGACGATGCGGGGCTAAAGGACATGTTCGACCGCTTTGGCGCTGTGGCCGAGGCCAAGGTCATGGTAGACGACAAGAAGCACACGTCCTGTGGATATGGGTTCGTAACGTACACAAACGCTGCGTCTAAACACAAGGCCATCAAGCACATGCACCAGAAGTGCGTAGATGGCGTGGTATTGACAGTCAAGAATGCGGGGGTCAACGCCGATCGCCCATCCATCTCAGGCGGATTGGGCAACTGTCGAACGAAGACCCCAAAGGAGGGACACACGATCAAGGTGGAGCACGGCCTAGGACGTACGCACGGCGAGAACGACGACGACACAGTGTCCGAGACTGGCCACGTCTATAGCGAGAACACTCGACCGAATGTGGCCACGAGCGTCAGGTCCGAGGCGGACGACCACCACCACCGGGGCCACACACAAGATGGCGCGGATGAAGGCACCGCTCCATGTTGTCCCGAGGATGGCGAGCGCGCGACGCGGCTGGAGAAGGACCGCATGCGCAAGACCAAGTACCGCAAGCAGAAAATGGCCCAGGTGGATGCGCTCAAATACGAAGCGCAGATTCTGGAGCAACGTCTGGAGAAACTCAAAGCCGACCACAGCAACCACCACAAAAAGGCGCGGCACAGTCAAGGGCGCGGCGCCATGTGGCAGCAGATTTGCGTCGCCGAGGCCGCCAACAAGCGCGACAGCTTAACCGAGCAGCAGAATCTGTATCGGTCGCTGGAAGAACACCTGCATCTGGCCGTGTCCCTCAAGCGAAAGATGACGTCGGCCAACGATGTCCCGGTACGACCACAACGCCTCATCGAGTGTTGATGGCATGTCGTAGCTGTGTTTTGACCCGCGAGGACGACCGTCAGAGGCGTACTATGCCCAGCATTCGCTGGCCCGTCATCCCGTCGCCCGCGTCCAAAGTGTGCACGCGATGCTGGATGCTCAATTCCACCAGCTCGCAGATACGTTTGTGGCCAAGTTGCCGACCGCCGACCACGACGGCACGTTTGGTCTGGTGTTGCATCACGACGAGATTTCATTTTTGGAAACTATCAAGTTTGGCGTCGTGTACGGTCGGGTGGTGGATGTGGCCGATCTTGTGTGGCGGCACCTGCTGGCGTCTCGAGGCTCCGGCACCAAGGTACCCACCCCACTCCACCCCCCCCATATCGTGTCATCGCAGCCTCCATCATCAACAACGTAACCCCATATGGTCAATATCTATATTAGGTGGAAATGCTCGACGACGATGCGTGCTTTATCCAAGCGCTGCAACACAACGACTCAGTGCCGACGGACACTCCTCACCATTACATTGCCAAGCGCTACGTCGAGCCCGGCCGCCAAGTGCTGCAGAGCCGCAACGTTCTCCACGACGCCCTGTGTCCCCAGCAAAACCCGTTCAAAGACCACATGGTGTCGTGGGTGGTGGTCGAAGACATGTCGCACCCCCAGGACAAGTACCCCACCACATGCATCCGGGGGTACTCACAGACGTGCCTTCGCTCGACGCGAAGCGCGTCCGTGCAAGAGTACAGCGTGTACATGAACGACCTTACGAAGCGCAACGACAGCCTCAACAGCGACCTGCACCGGCGCTTTCGGTGTCTTGTGTTGAATTAGTTAAACACCCATATTACTGTTAGTATATGGAGGATTCGTCAGTCGATGGGCTCTTGACAATGTGCACCATGCTGCAGTTGGACACGATGCGAATCGTATAGTTGTTGGTTCCCGCAGTCATTGCCGCCTTTGGCAACGGGATCGTGCGGGAGATGGTTTTGCGATAGGGCAAGTGCACCATCGTGACTAACTGGTCGTGATCGTCCACGACCAACACGTACAACATGTGCGGTCGCGGTTTCGTCCACCGATTCGAGAGGATGGACTGCAGTTTGGCATTGTGCACTTGAATGTGCACATGGATGCTCGTGTCATGCGTCGTCGTCGTCGTGTACGACAACTGGGGCATTTTCTCAACGATAGCCAGAATCTCTTGGCGTTGCTTGTCCGAGAGTCGGCGTGGCAGTGCTTGCTTGACTTGGGCGACTGACCCGTCAAACTCGCGAGGGAATAGTGCCAATTCATCCGACGTCACGTGCGGCAACTGCCACCAGCTCTGCGCATGCGGCCAGTAGCCGTACAAAATCCCTTGGCCAAGTTGGTTGATCACTAAGACGAGGGACGGACGGCCGAGGAGAGCCGCGAGATCCATCATGGCGCCAAGGACGCGAGGCAGGTGGTCCAGTACGAGCCGCAAATCGTTCCAAAAGTCGCTCGACGGCAGCGGCACTTGGCCCAAGTGCAATTGAAGGAGCAGCAGACACTTCAACTGGGAGCTGTGCGTGTCCCACTTCCACGACCGTTCTTGGTACCGGCATTGCCCTGCCAACGACCCAACCACGCGCTCTTCCTGCGGCCGAATCGGCAACTGGGCAAACTCGACGCACCCGCACACGATGCGAACCAACGAGATCGTCGTCGAGTCGCCGTCGGCGTCCCCTGGCAACGCTTCCAGCGACTCGTGCAAGTGCTGCACGGACCGGCACTCCAAGTACTGCGCGCTGGCGATTTTACCCAGCGCCGTAGGCTGCACCACGCCCTTGGCAAGGGTACAGCATCGAGTTTGCACGAGGCGAGTCAAGATGGCCGATACCAATTTCTTGAAAAAGTCTTCCACTGTCGTGTCGATGCGGTAGTACGCCGGGTTCTTTTGCACCCGCTGAAACAAAAACGTCCACGACAAATACTTGACGGCATCACCCACCGACTGGACGGTGCCGTTGGCGATTTCCGCGTTGAGAGTATTGTCCAGATGCAAATGAAGAGACGATTCCACGGGCAGTGGCTCGTAGATGAAGCGCTTGATGAAGTTTTGCTTGACGTCTTGCACCAGCACACACGCGACGCCGCTCGTGTCGAATTGCGGCCGTCCGGCCCGACCAATCATTTGCAAAATGTCGGTCATGGGAAAGTCGGCGTACCGGCCTTGCTTAGGGTCGTAGTACTCGGTGCCTTTGACCACGACCAAGTGCGCCGGCAAGTTCACCCCCCACGCCAACGTCGACGTGCAAATGACTACTTGGATCTTGTTGTTCAAGAACAGTTCCTCGACAATCTCGCGGTCGCGCGAGCCCAGCCCTACATCGTGATTCCATCGTAATCGCCCTTCGTTTGATATATATAAATTTATATATTATATATATTAGGTTTTTCGCCCATATTTGCCATTTTGGGGGGATAGTTGAAATCACCAAGAAATCGAGCAAAGCAATATGACTGGATGCAAAAAGAATGAATACTACTAGTATCGTTTGGCTAAAACGAATGAATATTCACAAAGATACCACTTAACAGTCAACTTAGAAATACATATATCATATTTCGCAGGCACCAACCCCTGGATGTAATTATTACGAGTACAACACACAATACTATATATTTATAATATTACACCATATAGAGATACATACCAGCATGATGCAGCCCAATCCCAAACACGAGCGTGTCCTTGAGCCCCGGATCTCGCACTTGGTCGACCCACGTGGCCATAATGTCTTCATCCTCCCACAGAAATTGCTTTTGGGACCCTGCCAACGCCGCCAACGAGATGAGCGCCATGGCCGAGAGCCGCGTTTGGCTCCGCGACGACACAAACACAAGCACGGGTTTGGTGGGAGAGTGCGACTGGATCGCGTGGTATGTGGGCTTGTTCATGGCGGCCATGCGGGGGACGTAGTGCCGCCCCGCGAACCCCTGGATATGCACGTCCATAGCGATCGGGCGCACGGACGCGCGAAAGTTAAAGATGCCGTGGGCGGGGTCGGCAATGCCCATCCACTTGCCCACGTCCACGGCGTTCGCCAGCGCCGTACTCAGCCCCACGAGGCGAATGGCGTGGCGAAGCATCCGCATGCGCGACACGATGGCTTCCAGCACCTACACGCAGACAAGTGTCATCACCACCTACTCGGTATTGGATTGGCTAGAGGGTACCGGGCCGCGATCTTCGCCGAGCAAGTGCACTTCGTCCAGCAAGACCAAGCGCACCATGTGCACAAACGATGTCGCATGGATGGTCCGTGTGACGAGGTCCCACTTTTCCGGCGTTGTGACGATGATCGACGCTTGCTTCAACACGCGCGCCTCCACGGTCGTGTCCCCCGTGAGCTCCACCACCCGCTTGCCCATTGTGCGCTCAAACTTGCGCGTCCAGTCCTTGACCCGTTCGTGAGCCAGCGCCTTGAGCGGCGCCACGTACACGACGATGTTGTGTCGTTCTTGAACATTCCACAGACGAAGCATGGCCAACTCTGCGACGATGGTCTTGCCGCTGCCGGTGGGGGCGCCCACGAGGACGTTTCCGTCCGTGTGGTACATGGTGTGGAACAACTGGGTCTGGATCGGGTTGAAAAACTGAAACGAGTACAAGTCTTCAAACGCGGGCTGGTGCAACGCCGACACGGGCAACGGATGCAGGCGGAGCAACGGCGTGTAGTAGACGGGCTCGGGCGGCGTGTCCTCTGACACTAGGGGAATGTCCACGGGATGGCAGCTGTCGACGCCGACCCACCGATCCGAGAGCAGGCGCAGCGTGTAGTCGGGCGTGGTGCGTTGGAAGACGGGGACGTGAAACGTGCACTGGATCACGTCGAGGCGCTGCGCCTTGTGGATGAGCACGTGTTCTGCGTGGTACATGGCGTGATCGTCTTCGACCCACATCCACCACGCTTCCACCGACCCATGGTACAGGTCGTTCCATTCAAAATCGCACCGCACGTCCACCGAGACTTTGAGAATGCCTTGCGTGAGCGGCTGTACATGCACGTCCACCAACAAGTACGGAAGGTACTTCATATGTTGCACAATCTACCCCCAAGTAGTAGTTAGTAATACAATCAACGGATGGATGGACGGAGAGAGAGACATGGGTAGATTGTATGGGGCAGGGATCCTACCTTTTCGGCCACACGGGGGCTGTGCACCGCGACGCCGATCTCGTCGACGCTGAGCGTGAAGAGCGTGTCAATGTCGTAGCGCTCCTCGAGCCGCGCGACCGCGTCGAATGGCAGCACGTGCAGGAACCGCCGAAGCGGCGACTGCGTCCACCACATGCGGTGGTCGATCGACTTGGCCACGTTGAGCACCTTTTCCGCAGCGACGGGCCACCCCTTTTTCAAGCAAATGTCAAACAACGCTCGCGTGACGCGGGATCCGTTCTGAGCCACGTAATTCGTGTCGGAAATGAGCGTGAAATTCGTCAATCTCGACGACGTGTTGGAGATGTACGCCTAACGACAAGCCATGAGCCTTCCTACTAGCAACCACCACTAGCATTCATGTTGACATCGTACTTGCAACAAGATGTTGGCCTTGCCCGACGATGCGTTTTCGCCCTTGATGGGCAATTTGCACGATTTCTTGACTCGTTCCAACTCGACGGTCTCGTCTTCCCGCACTTGCACTTGTTCAAATTCCTACATTGCCCCCCCCAATGGTCACCAGTTGATGCAATTCCACCGACCACAAGAGGCCACTGATAATGAAGGCATGCACTGTACCGCAGACGAGCAAATCACGTGCAGCACGTCTTCGTCTTCCATGTGCTGGTTGAGCATTTCATTGAACGTTTCAATCGTGCCATGGGTAATGTAATAGTGGCTGGCCACGCGGCCCAAGTTGGTCACTGCAAAGTCGCCTCGCCTGTCACATATACGCCTCATGACAAACTTCAACGCAGCATATGGGAACTCCCCACCGGTGGTCAAACTTAATCATGCGCGCGTCTTCGAGGGTCTGAATGGCCTGCTTGAGCAACTCGGTCCGCTTGTTCACGAGCATCGGGTCGTTCGCTCTCTCGTCGTACGACATTCCGTACGCCATGGGGTTCTTCATCATTCGCACAAACAAGTACGTATAACTGAGCCACGCGAGCGCTTCGGGCAGGTTGGCCACGGTGCCCGACACGATTTCAGCGTTCAAATGGTCTGGCAATGTCTTGATCAACGCCGATTCAATCGGCGCTTGGTTTGCCAACGCACTACCACGTCCCCGTGTGTCAACACCCAAAAAACCATTTTTATTTAAAAAATTATTAAAAAATAAACCTTGAAACGTGGGTATAATTAAATTTAAAATAAAATAGAATGAGGTATAAAAATTAAAGTATTTATATTTAACAACATATACGCCAGCTGTAACCATTGTTGCTGCTAAAAAAGCAAAAAAAGATCAATTTAATAATCTATTAAATATTAAAATAAATAGGAAGAGCTCTGATAAACTTTATATATATATTATATATAAATAAATAATGATTTTACAAGAATTTTTTTATAATAATTTTAACACACAAACAAAAATCATTTCATACAAGGCGTGTGTACGTACCGAAGGTAATGGTCCAGCTGGTCGTGCGTGGTGACAATCGTGGCCTCGCCCGACGTGTCGTACTGCGGCCGCCCCGCGCGCCCAAAGATCTGCATCACGTCTAACATGCTCAGCGGCACCATGCACCCCTTTTCGGCGTTGTAAATCTGCGTGCCTTTGATGAGCACCGCGTGCGCCGGCAGGTTGACGCCCCACGCCAGCGTGGCCGTGCAGCACAGCAGTTTGATCTGTCCGTTTTCAAACAGTTGTTCGGTCAGGTTGCGGTCGCTGCGGAGCATGCCGGCGTGGTGGATGCCGCACCCACTCGGTGCAAACTCCTTGACATCGGCGTTGCGGCTCTTGGTTAGGTGCATGTCGAGGGTATTGGCCGTGGACTCGTTTATTGGGGCGTCGGCGGGCGCGAACATGTCGATCGTGCCGTGCTTGGCCGCCAAATCCAGCACCGCGCGAATCGTGAGCGCCGTTTCTTTGCGCGAGTGGACAAAGATCATCACTTGGTGGCCACGGGTGATGTTGTCGATCGCGTATTCGTACGCGAGCAAGTTCATCGCCGCCATCTGCTTGGTTCGGCCCTTGTCGGTGATGCCCACAAACGTCTGCTCCAGCGGCACGGGACGGTATGACGCGTCAAAGTAGAACAAACCGCCGCCGCTCGGTTCATGCGGGGGAAACGACACGCGCAAAAACTCGGCCACGTCCTTGTAGTTGGGCAAAGTGGCCGACAGACCCACGATTCGGATCATCGTTTGCGTCGACTCGACGCGGCGCAAGGTACGCGCGACGATGGTTTCAATCACAGGCCCGCGCTCGTCGGCGAGCAAGTGGACTTCGTCGATGATGAGGAGCTTGACCTATATGTATATCGTCAACAAAGTTAGCACCTTCATATTGTCAAGTCGATTCGAAATTGGAGAGAGCAGAAAACCAAATCGGCCGACAATCGATATACGACCAATCAAAACCCACAACACGAATCAAGTGGCCAATCAAATCCACTCTTCGACCAATATTCAACATCCAACTAGTGTGTGACTGAAATTAGTGTGACGATCTTTATATACAAAAGTCAAGAATCGATCGATGATAGATTTGGCAAAGAATCAGCACAAAAGTCCTAATTTTGGGTAAAATGAAGACAATATGTGGGTGTTTGTTGGTTGGTCAGTTTAGTAGGTAGTAGGTCGTAGTAGTTAGTAGGTCGTAGTAGTACCTGGGTCAACAGCGCCTGCTCGTGCGTCTTGCGTGTGATGACGTCCCACTTTTCAGGCGTGGTAACAATCACGTGCGTTTCGTCGATCTGCGCCTTGGTCATTTGCATGTCTCCTGTCAACTCGGCCACTTTGATGTGCAGCGACCGCAGCCGTTTCGAGAAGCGCGTGACCACTTCCTGCGCCAGCGCTTTCATGGGCGCCACGTAGATGATCTTCATCGTGCCGGCGTCCACGCGGCCGCTGGTCGGGTTCCGCTGGGCCTTGACTTCCCGCAGGATGGTCATCATCGCGACGTTGGTTTTGCCCGCCCCTGTGTTTTGCACATGTCAACATTATTGTGTGGACACATCATGAAGCGGCGGTGGCATGTATGTACCCGTGGGCGCACACACGAGCAGGTTTTGGTTGGACGTGTACGCTGCCTCGAACAACTTGGACTGGAGCCGATTGAAGTGCGTGATGCCTTCAAACACGCTGTACGTGAACGGATCCATGCGCGAGATGGGCACGAGCTCGTCTTGCGCCAGCGCCTTTTGAACTTTGGCAGGAATAAATACCTTTTCGTAGCCCTTTTCGACCGTCTTGACCGCGCCCGCCGGCAACCCCGACATGATCATGCTCGTGTCGTACTCCATGTTGCCGAACTGCTCCTTTAAAAGGGATGTGGACGTGTTGGCCTTGCGGTCGATGTTGCTCTCTCGCAGGGCTTGGATGACGTCCATGTCGTACCCCGCGGCCTCCAGCCAATTCTGCTCGTCGTCTGCCGCAACATCCCCTTGGCGGCGCTGGTTCCGACGGGCTTCTTTCCGCTGGTGCTTGGACACGTATTGGTCCAATTCGCTTGAGATGCTCACGGATGATGCCTTCTTAGCCTTGTTCGACGGGGATCGAGGAGGAGTCGTCGCGGATGCCACGGCCGCGGCGCGGGTGAGTTGTCGTGTCGTGAATGCTTGAATGGACGCGCGAGCAGACAAGATCTCTTGGATGAGTTCGATGCCGTCAAAGCCCAACAGGTTGAACAACATTGATTCGGCGTCGTCCTTCTTGAGCGATTCCACGATAGACGACGCCAATTCCGAGCCTGGAATGGGCGAGTCATGCAGCAACGTGTGCTGTTCGCAGACACTGACAAGCCACTCGGGACTCACGGTCTTGACGACAGGCGCTGCGATTTTCTCGTTTCCATTGGATGCGACCAAGTCGTACCGAAGAAAGGACGCCGCGGGCGGTTCTTCCTGCGAGTACACGAAGGGACGGACCATGTCGAAGTGGAAGAGTGCATTCTTCGACGGACGAATGTTCAGCGGTCGCTTCTTAGGCGTTGTCGATGGAGCAATGCTTCCGAAGGCATCTTCAATCAAGTCGAGGGCAAATCCCATGCTGTCGTCGATGATCCAAATTCAAACAACCCGATTGTGCCGCATTATTTATTTATTGGCTTGGTGGTATCATAACATTAAAACTGCAGTATGGTGGTAATATAATACAATCCATTAATATTATCTTGATATACTAAAGCGCTTGTGATAAATAGAATTAAAATTGTGTATCCAGGTTGTTTTTAAACAATATTGTTATACTACTTGGTGGGTTATCAACAGAAAGTCCGAGGAAAAATCGGGTACGTTATGACACAAAAACCACCAGCTCGGTCAGCCTTGAAGGCATGCAGTCGGTCGTTCTAGTTGGGGTGGTAGTACGTACCCTTTTATAGAGCATAACTCGAGTCACGACAGCGCTTGAACAACCAGGACTGCTCGACTGGTGTCGACAAGAAGTAACCAACATTCACACTGGAATGAGCGTCTGTTCACCATCTGGTCAAAAAGTCAATTTGAGTCCTCAAAGTCATGAATTGAGTTCGATTTTACACTGTTAACGAGATTGGCTGCTAATTACGCGTCCAAGGCAACACAAAGACTGCAGATCAAGCACGCAACGACATGAGGGGCCCAAATGTACCGATCCCAGCTGCTGGCCATGATATGACGCTCATCAGCAGAGGGAGCCCCATAATCCCCACAACGACCCAAATCAGCCACGACGAGTAAAAGGTGGGGAAGGTCACATCCGCTCGAGCGAGCACCACGAGCGCCATCAATACCAACAAGGGGACTTTAAGCAACAAGCAACAGAGGCGGGCTGGCGTGGACAACCGGCCATTGAACCTTCCCCCCATGCCGTAGGCACTCTACGGGGCGCCAAAGACGAGGCTGATGTAGAAGACAACGGCGATGACCATGATGATCGTAAAGATGACGGCGGCTACGAGGCTGACGACGGTCATGATGGAGTGCTGATTGAAGTTGAACAAAAATTGAGGTTAGCTCGAGACACCCTTGCAGGAAAAGTGCCTTAATTTTCCGTTCAATACGTTTAGCCAATCAGTTGGTCCAATCTAACCTACTAGGCATTCGATTGGCTAGAGAATTATACCTTGGCTACAATTTTGAATCTTGAACAGGTGCGGCTACACTCCGAGTATGACACAATGATCACATAGTATGACTGATACGTTATCTGAATCCACTTGGAGGGGGTTTCTCTCGGAGATCGTCGTCATGGCGGTGTGGCGTGCAGGTGAAGTTTACGACCTCTGGTGTCCCATCTGGAGGCAGGTGTGTCGGCGTGGTTAGTGGACGAGGATTTCCAAAGGGTCTGTGGCACTGCATCACGTGGACGCAACTTGCCACACGATCGTTGGGTTCATGCGAGCTGACACTGTATGGTAAGTTTGTCTTGATGAAGGGAAGTCACTGCAATACTATCTCAACGCCACTAACTCTGTTGTTATGCATCGTGTTCGAGTCCCGTACGATCAGACATACAATATCACTTGAAAGAGTAACACCGAGCCAAATCATCTCTTACGGCCTCCTTACCTTCGGGTCAGATCTGTGACTCCCGCTAAATCGCCACAATGTCTGCTTCAGACATGTGGCACTGCAAACACGCCACAATAACTAGTTACGTTTTCTAAATTTCAGACAGCTTAATTCCTGAATTTTTGTCTTTCGACACAACATGCACCATGTCCCTGTCACCAGAGCCATCTGCGTGGATCTCTTGTGTCAACTACGCACGTTTGTACGGAGCGTCGCCGTCTTGCATGTCAACCCCCGCATCTCCAATATCACGCAGCATAGTGTAACAGCAAGGATAGTACTAACGTAAAAAACCAATTTACAGTTAAGATAACTTTTTTGGAGGCGTCGGAGTAGAATGGACATAACTTTTGAGTCCGTTACGATATTTGAGTTTTGAATAGTGATTCCAATAGACAAGACGCGCCTCTTTGACTTCATAATCAAACTATCAGTTTAGGCGATGAACTTCACAGATAAATTTGTTACTTTCTAAGCATTTGTACTCACATTTTGATAACCAATTTAGGATAACTTTTTTTATCTTAAAGTATGTATGTGTCTGAGCATTGAAATTCTGTGTTTAGGGTAAGCGGTTACAACAGGTTTTGTATAATTTATACAAGGGTACTGATTTATAGAGTTAAATTTCTGTTGTAGATGGATGTCCACCGAGTTTAACACTCGACAAAACCTCAGCTCCAACCCAATGTGGCCCGTGTCGACTAGGGAACTTCAAAACCCAATCTTAAATGACTATTAACTCGAAGTACCAATGGCTTCTACGCCGTTTTTGCATTTCATTCACGTGACGGAATGGCCAGCATTATATGATAGAGGTTTTGACTCGAACAAATAACGAGGTGTGATTGGACAATACAGTACAAAGTTATCCTAAATTGGTTAACTGTAAGTTATCTTTAAATTGGTTTTTTACGTTATTAATAGTAATGTTAGTGCTATTAATACGTAGTATACTATAAATTATTAATAGTACTACGTAGTACTACTGTAGTATACAATACTTCGAAGTACTACGTTACCTCGTGTTTGCCCCAAAATCGTATCCGGATCCGTATGCTAAAACCGTATCCTTTGGAGGCGCGACACAAGTTTGCAGAACTTTCAGTATGGAGGTGGCCCTGACAAAGCTGAACGAGCTGTATGACATGCATGACCATTACTTTAGTGCCGACAAGCAGGAAAAGAAGGTGCGATAACATTATCTGTGAACTAGTTCCTCAATCGAACATGCAGCTCAAGCTGCAAACATTGGCCGATGAAATCTTGGAGCTCGTCGATGCCATCGACATTGGTAAGCACGTGGCAACGCGACACTATCATTTCGACAACATATGCAGCAGGAAGCAACAACAGTCGACAAGCCAAAGCAACTGCGTCCTACGTCAAAGGCAAAGCCCTGGAGGTGTTTCCCGAGTACAATCCGTCGTCCGAGGCATTGCTCTCGCAAGCAGTACGATGATCCCATCGCAGCTTAGGATTATGCCCTGACGATGCTGTCGAAAGGCCAAGCTGGATCCGTGCAATTTGGACATTTGGGTGTGCCTTGGAAACTGTTTGTGGAAAAAAGGTGACTTGCAAGCTGCGAAAACCTGCTTTGAAAACTGCTTGGATTACGGCCCCAGCAAGCACGCGCTGCGGAGTTTGTCCATGCTGCTTCGGAAGATGGGCACCAAGCCCGAAGAAAAGTCACACAATATCAAAGTAACCATACGACTCATGCATTTGTGTATTTTGTACTGATACGTCGTTAGACTAGCATTGTCCATGCCAAGCAGGCGTTGAACATGGACATTCAAGATGGAGAGTCGTGGTGTATGTACCTTCAAGTGGGGCCGTTTTTTTCACTGGCGTCATAGATGTCATGGGGAATGCGTACCTGGCCTTGTTCTTCGCCAGTTCACACAGCACCGTCGACTTGGATCGGTCGCTAGCTGCCTACGCTCGAGCCGTACGAATGGGTTTCATCAACCTTCCCTTTCCACAACAACTGTCAAGTAGGAAGCGGGGGGAGCCGCCAACAACCCCGACCTCCATTTCAACCGTGCCAACGTACTGATACCCTGTCGAATGTGATGTGTTGCTCGTTGTACTGATGCGTTTCGTGTAGGTACATCGGTACAAAGAAGACTATGCATTGGCAGTGCAAAGCTTTTGCAAAGCGCATGCGCTGGACCCGTCGCTTCGAGCCATGGCGATTGTCGACGGCATTCTTCGATGGACGCTTCGTGTGTCGAATTTGATCCATCAACAGGTACGTTATATCATAGGGGTGGTGAAATCCATGACGTGGCGTTCCAGGGGAGGTTCAAGGCGAGCCGCATTGCGCAGTTGGCCTCCACACTTCCGCACGTCGGTGAGGTCCAAGGCCGGACTCGAGTGTCCATCTCGTCCCTGCAGTAATCTCGACAACGTCCTCGTATCCCCGTACCAACCAGTGGCTAGTCCTGGACACAACGAAGGCAAGGCGGTGGCTTTGAAACTACTCGTGGATGTTGTCCGAAAGAACGAGCCCCCGGGGTATGCTACAAAAGGACAAGCAGTCCCCCTAGAACTGACAAATTGGGGCAGGTGCTTTGTCATGATGGACGAAACGCAAACGTGTTGTGCGGTGTCGATATACCACCTCGACAGCGTCGCCTACACGAAAATGACGGAGCGAGATGTGTTTTACGTCCTCGATCCGTTTGTCAAGCTCGTGCACTTGACGTACAACTGCATGGTAATCATGATATTCACACGACGATATATATATATCTCTTTGCATCATCGTCACATTGGTGCTAGTCAATCAAGTACCTCTGCCTCCATGTTGCCGAGCCCCATTTGTTTCTCATCAATGGCCACGTCGTGGCTGAATCGTACGCGCATGCCGAGATCCACTTGAATAATTTTGATTTGTAGACTAACGTAGGTAGTACATACTAGTACGTTCCACTGTATGGTTTAGTACGTTCTACCACAACTAGTCCAGTTTGGATGTGCACTTTGCAGTCAAATTCGCTACTTATTTGCCCGCGCCGCCCGCGGACTTTAAGAACGCGTCCAGGTGCTGGCCTTGGTACTTGAGGAATTCGATTTCTTCCTTGTAGCGTTTCTCTTGCAACGCGCGGCGTTCGCTTCCTCGCTTTTCAATCACTTCGAGCTTGTTGGTCAGTTCCAGCACCTTGTTTTCGTACTCTCGCTTTTCTTCTGCGAGCAGCGCAATCTAAAATGACCGCATTGGGCCAAGTGTTCTTTCAAAGTTGGTTTTATCACCTTGTCTTCGATCGACCCCATGCCCTGCTCGGCCTGCAGCTGCTTCCGCACACCAAATGTGATGCTGCTGTCATACAAGGTCTTGTAAGCGTCTGTGGTCATGCGGATTTCATCCCGGATACGCAAGAGCAGCAGTCCTCGTTCTGGAGAATTGATCGTCACTTCGCGAATGAGTTCGTCTAATTCATACATGATTATCAAGTTATAGTAGTAATATAACCATCAGATCAAATCACGCACCAAAACACTGGGCATAAATGTCCTCACGAACGTGGCAAATGCCGCTTTCCCGCGCTTGACGCTTAATGAGCTTGGCATCCATTTGTTCCTAGTCAGAGGCACGTCGCCAACAACTATTTCACCCCATCAGTGTCTTTTACTTCAAACGTACTTGCAATTTGATCACGTCAAAACGAGTGGAAGGCTCAGCGGACGTGTAGCGCATCCAGTGCCCAGTTTCCTCCTTCCAAGTCCTACAAGTACATGTCAACGATGCGAACATTGTGGCGAGGTTTACTGAGGTGGCAGCATAGCGTTCAGCACATCCTCAATGCGCGATACGGGGTCTACTTTCGTGCCTGGCGCTGGCTTGACCTTCTTTCCTCCTTCACTGTGTTCGCCTGTGAAGATGGGCGAGTCGTACTTCACTAAATTCTCCGGCGGGCTGGGTTCCGCCATCGCTACCAAGGATTACTGTAAATTCTGTCGTGACCTTTCGGAAAGCTACACCGGATAACGAAACGACATATTTATCCGGAAGTATCGTCCGTTCGTGTTTTCAAGGATTTCTACTTGGCAGTGCGTTTTTTTGCCTTTTCATCTCGAAGTCTCTGCAACTGCTCCGCGTATAGCTCCTGGGGGGTCTTGTAGCCCTCTAATGTATTCAACGCTTTTGATGAGTTGGCTATCCTTGCCGCTTCGGTGGCTTTGAACTGCCATCAACCACATACTAGTAAGTATAAAGTACATCTACCAATACGAGGACGATAGCATACCGTCTTGCGCAGGTCCTGTTTCGACTGTACAACAGACGCATTCCACGGCACGGCATCCCTCAAATCGGGGTGGTTCGGGAGCTCTTCTGTTCGTTTCAAAATGCCCTACAAATTGCACCAGTTAGGATGGGGAGCCAACTCAACGTGTCCCTCTCTACCCGTTGCATGCGCTCGTCGCCAAACGTATCTCCAGGCTCGATTGCCAGCTGCTGGACTTCCAATATGCCTTGGTTGAACTTGGTAGGTTTTGTCAACAGCGTGGGGTATTTCACGGGAAGCTTCTCCGCACGATAATTGTATTGGTACATGTTGCCGTGGTTCATCTACTGGTCGGAATGAATAGCGATGATGCAGTGGGTGGCTGGCTCCTCATCCACATCGTTGTTACCTCGCCATGCACAAACGTGCGTTTGTAGCAATTCGTTCGGAGCACGCATGATTCGGTCGTAGATTGATCCCAGCCAGGAGGATCTGCCGACAGGATCTTGGACTTGAGTGACGCCTGAACTTCGCGCTTGGCCGCAATTTTGTGCGGCGGAGTGTCATCTATATGGAAGCACGACTCCTGAAACTTGTAGTTCACCGGAGCTTGGGTGCCTCCGATCTGGAACTTGGTCTTGAGCGGCAACGGCCTTGTGGGCTCGTCCCCGTTCATTTGTATTGGCGAAATGCTACTCAACATGACCAAAGTGCTAAATTTAAAGCCATCGGCGGCGTTTCATCTTGTAACCTTTCGCTATCCGGATAATTGCTGAAAGTGATACAAGTAATAATCTAACATCCGGATGCGCCACTCCTCAACGCTTCCTCACCACTGTTGCCGGCCGGCCGATGTTGCGCCGATCGCTGTGCCGCGCGATGTCGACGGCGGCCAAACCGACGCCTGTCAAGCCAGGTTAGCGATCCCCACCTTCTAGAGGGAAGCCTCATGCTGCACCTTGTAGAATACCCCAAGTCATTCCTATCGCACGTGGCCAGCCAGCCGTTGAATGCGTTTAACGTCGGCGTGACCATCTTGACGCTGTCGTTGTCGATTCAGCTCGTGAACTCGAACGGATTGATCAAGGACGAGCAGAAGAAGAACGAGAAGCTGTCGAAGTATGTAGCCCGACTGGAAGATCGGTTGAAGGAACTGGACATTGTTGTGTTGACGGAAGACGAGTTGGAAAAGGCCGCCGAAGCCGAAGCGTTGCGTCAGGTGGAGTTGGCGCTGCAGGAGAAGGCCAAGGCTGCCCCCAAGACCAAGAGCGTCATGGTTTAGCTAATTGAAAAGCATTCAAGTTTCTGCATTAACAGTTTACTTCTTGCCCGTGCCAGGCAGAGATCGCTTGGTGGAGTTCGAGTCCAATCTGTTCATTTCGTTGACCGCCGTGAGGATTTCGTTGATGTTTGTTTCCAGCACCATGCCGCCCATCACGATTTCGTCCAGCACGTAATGGACCTTGTCGCTGTGGAAGATCAAGTCCAATTCGCACACGTTTTCAAAGCACTTGTCCAGGGTTTCCACAAACACTAGATCCAGATATGAGTACTCCAAATGAGGTGCACGTGATCGTCGTTACCTTGAATGAGATCCAAAATGCCCAAGTCGCTCTCTTGCTTGTCGACGGCAAACACAAAGTAAAGCGTTGCGTAGTGTCTGTAAATTAGCTTGATCCCGTCCCCCCAGTAGCGCACGCTAATCCATTGTTAGATGAACCAAAACAACACGCAAGGAAGCACGCACCTGCCCTCCAAGAAATTACACAATGTGTCGGATCGCTTGGACACTTGGGTGTAAATGTCCCGAATCACGGCTTGCTGCTCGGCGTCGGGCTGAAGAAGGAAACGTCATGATTCTTCGTTCATGGTCACGATGACATCGGTTTAGACATAAGGACGTACCACATGCTCGTAGAACTTGACGATGCGCGCCTTCCCGTGGTTGTTGACAATGAGCACCCCCTTGATCATTGCACTCAACCGACTGTGAATATGGAACACCCGTCAGTGGAAACTCCTTTCGAATTTTGATTGGTCCATTCAATGGGATATTAGCCAATGATATTGCTTTTTGATTCACCTTAATTCCTCACGCAGAAAAATCGACACTGGATTGATGGGCATCATCGACGAGCACAAGCCTTTACTAGCGTGGAAGCTGCTTAGCATATCAACCGAGCTTAGCTTATCAACCGAAGTCGATGCATTGGTTAACGTTCGTTAGACTGCCCAACACAACATATATGTATTTCCTGCCACTTGCTACAGCCACAATGTCGGCAATACACTCAACAATCATATTGCGTGTTATTCCAGCATATAAATCCGATTCGAGATGTCGGACACCATCCAGTCAATGCCATCTGCTAGCCCATCGCCCGTGAACGCACTGCACGAGTGGATTTTCCAATGGCGATTGGCGAATTGGCTTTCGTGGAGGCCCAGCGCCAGCACAATATCCTCCGGGCTCAACGCTCCGGGCAGGTCTTGCTTGTTGGCGAAAATAAGGAGCGTCGCCCCCGCTAGCTTTTCTTGGGTCAACAACGCCACCAACTCACGTTTGCAATCTTCCAGTCGGCGGCGATCGGCGCTATCCACCACCCACACAAGTCCGTCGGTTTGTTCAAAGTAGTTGCGCCAGTACGACCGAATGGTTTGCTGCCCGCCTACGTCCCACACATTGAGCTTGTACTGTTTGTACTCGAGCGTTTGAATGTCGAATCCAAGCGTGGGGCTGATGGAGCTGATGTCTTGGCCCATGAACTTCTTCAGGATCGTGGTCTTCCCCGCGTTATCCAATCCTCTACGCAGGTGACATAAGATAATGACGACATTCATGAACGCCGGGGCCTACAGCATCAGGATGCGCAGCTCCTTCTCCTTCCGCTTGACCTTTTTCAAGATCGTTAGAAGCCCCATCGAGGTCGATTCGCCAAATGATTCAATGGAACAATCGTTCGGATAACAAATCATAATCCGGATAACGTTTCATTTTATTTCACACATTTCAAATTTCGCCCTTATCTACCGCCGCCGTAGATCCGCGCGACCTGCGCCGCCTTCTGCTGTCGCTTGGCCCGTGACTTCATGGCCGCTGCATAGAAAGGATCGATCTTCTTCTTCGCGAGATCCATCGTCTCCATTGTCTGTTGCTCAATGTACCGCGCCGTCTTCCGTTCCTGGCGAACTTGTTGGACGTCGGCTAAATGTCGGCGCTGTTCCATCAACGCCGCGACTTCCATTTCTCGACTGCTTCTCAATTCCCGAATCATTTGCTCAGAAGCCTACTCAAATGTCACATGAATGCGTCTCCATCACCCATGGTTCCCGTCAACACGTACGAGTTTGTGTGCTTGTTGCACGAGCGTACGTTCGCGCACTTCGTGTTCTCGTTGCTCTTTGACCAATTCGATTTGGTTGGCAAAGCTACATGTACAGGTAGATAGTTACACCCGTCAATGTCAGCCATCAACATAACTTGACGCACTAGTTTTCCAACGCGAGCTCTCGATCAGCATGTTGGCGTTGAATCGCATGCAGCGTGGCCGTGGTCTCGTCGTGCTCTTGCTTGAGTCGCATCTTTTCTAAATGGAGCAGATGCTCCATCGTGTCCTTGAGATTCTGCGCTTCCACGCGCTTTTGCTGGACGCGCAGCGCAATGCGCTGCAGTTTGAGCTCGTCGTGGAGCTTCTTGGTTCGAATCTACTCCGTGGTCCGTCAGTCCAAAGCGCACATCATGGAGGCGGCCGCCAACCTACCCGGTCAATATGGTCGGCATGCTTTTTGTTTTGAAACGACCGTGCAATGTGCTGGTTCAACTTCATTTCTTTCTACAGGTGTGCAACGTGGCTTATATGCACATTCGAGCCATATCGTACCACGCGCATATCTTGAACGTGCTCGTTCAACAGCGCCTTGTACCGCCGTTGTTGGAGGCGATCGTTGGACACCACCGCCCGCGGACCAACGAACGGCCGCACCTACATCCCCGTCGGTTAGTCCACGGCATGCCACTGCCCGCACCTTCGCAGCAGCTTCTTGGACCGATTTCACCGCCGCGGCCTTGGGCTGCATCGTGGTGGTCGTGGAGTTCCCAGCTCTCGTGGCCTCTGGCGATCGAGGCTCTTCTTCATCATAATTGTCCCAGGGAAGTTTGGACGGTGGCGGCTTTGCTTCTGCAGCTACCAGTGGCGGTGAACATGGTCCAGATTGGGCAGAAGGGGTCAAATCCATGGATGCCTGCACCAGGTCATCGACATGCAAAGACCCTCCGTCGTCGTGACGCATGCTAGCGTGTTGTGGCGATGTGACTGCCAACTCGCACGCAGCGTTCGACAGCTCGAGGCTCAACCGACCACCAGACAGCTCTTGGCGGTCATTGGAGTCTGAAAATTCCAGACCCGAGAGCTCTTCATCGTGAGAGCCTGCAAATGAGACGGACGAGACACTGCCAAAGTCCAACGTCCGAGGCACTGGCGGTTCGAATTGTGGGGACGTCGACGGTTGAGCTGAACGCAAAGATGGCTTCGTTTTCGACTTGGACGAGGTTGACGAACGAGGCTGGGATGGGGACGCCTCGTTGGCACCCCCACGAGGAGCAGCTCCCTTGGACTGTGTTTTCCGACGACTGTCGCGGCCATCAAAGCTATTGCCGCGAGACGAGCCCACTAGCGGCACGAACCGGCCATATTTCTTCGTGGTTTGGAGCGACGGGTCAATACTCCGACCGCTGACGCTGCTAGTGCTTGTTGTGCCCTTCTTGGTCGCTGGCTTCTTCTTCTTGGATGAACGCTTGATGTAAAACGTTTCGTCCAAGGACAAGTCATTGCTGCTACTGCAACTGGAGCCTAATCGTGACTTTGGTCGATGCAGCATCTGGTAAACTTGGGTTAACACGCGGACGAGGTCGCGGATGCAAATGAAGTCGCCACCACACACTTTGACACCCGTAACATGCTGCAGCTCTTCCGTGAGAAGAGCCGCGGATAGGCCATCCACGACGAGCTGTGCATTGTGACTGTAGTCGTCCAACGACCGTGGTTCCCGTATGACGTTGTCCAGCATCAAATCAAAGAAGCGCTCGTAGAGGGCGACACACATGGACGAGATGCTGCTGACAAGTTCGTCAATGTTTTGGAACGCGCGATCTCCATATCCAGTGAGCTTGAGGAGCGCATTGGTATCTTCCAAGAGCCTCGTGTGCTCGCGGCCGCTGGCAGTGGCCGCGTCCTGCATAACTTGCCGAAATATCGAATATGCTGTCCGATCTTGCACCGGATGGAAATCGACCAATCACATACGTCGAATTCAAATTTGCTGGCAGGTCAAGTGACAGTTTCACCGCCTCGACCTCCGACACTCGTCACTTCCAAGCATTCATGCATGAGGCTTCACACTTGTACTCATTATAAACACACACATGTATCTCTATGCCTTCAACTTGCAGCTGTACACAGTGGCAGTGCTTGGTGTCTTGTGGATTGCATCCGACACGTCATGTGATTCGATCTTGTTGGCTGATGCCAGCACGACAAGGCCCGTGCCAAGGATGACCAAAGACCCACCTATCCAAGTCAGGAAGCCAGGAACGGCGTCAACGCCGACAAACACGCCCATCGCGGTGGCCAAGACGGGCTCGAGCAACATGACCACACTCACGACAATCGGGTCAAAATACTTCATCACGCTGATGTACCCGACAGTGCCAATGATCGTGCATACAAAGACCAGGTACAATTCGACGCCAAGCATGTCTGGCTGCACCCACCCAAACCACCCGACGTGGTGATCCGTCGTCCATCGGACGTCAATGTCCATCGCGTAAAACACTGGAATGTGCAGCAGCGCTGTGGCGGCGAAGAGCAGCGTCATGAACACAAACACGTCCATCTCTTGGCGAAGTTTCTTGGCTGTGAGGAGGTAGAACACGCCACCGACAGCCCCGATCAACGCCACCACGTCCCCTTGCCACGACGCCTGCACGACCAACGAAGCTATGTTGTCCGGTCTACTCGTACTGGCATGATCCAAGGTTGTGACCACACCACCGACGAGTCCCAGACCGGACCCCACGATTTCAAACAACACGACGGGATACCCCAGCACGAACTTTCCCATGACAATCAACAGCGAGTGGCAGTTGTTGAAAATGTACGCGTGGCCGATCGTGGTGTGATTCAACGCCCAGAGAAACGTCATGAGGAACAGCGCGTACGCGACGGAGCAGGCGGCAAACCAACCCACCAGTCGCAACGTCCACTTGGGCCATCCGCGCTCGTACAGTCCGTAGGCCGCAAACGGCAGAAAGCCAATTATGGACGCCGTAGTGCGCCAGAACAGCTTGACGAACGGGTCCACTTGTTGCTGCAGGTCCAGCGCCGCCCCCAGCGACGAGATCGTGACAAGGGCCGCGATCAACAAGACGTAGCCAGCCACCGGTACGCGCTTGGTCACTGTCACATGGACGCCGATAGTCGCGGCGTTATTGTCGTGGATGGTTTCCAACGTCACGTTGGTCACATGGGATGGCGGCAGCGTGGCTAAGTTGGACAACTGCCGCAGGAGTGTGCCGCCGCCTTGGATATGCGATGCACAGTCGGGTTCGTCTGGCGATGCCTGGACTGCTAGGATGTACTGATGGGGATGCTTTGGTTGGTGGAAAGACTGCTGCCGCGGAGAGGACGACGACGGGACCATTGGAATCATGTAGGCCAGATGGCACAGATCGATGGGGCTGCGGGGCGTCACCGGCCATGGCAATGTCGTCGAAGGGTCACGGACACGAGGAGTGTGCAGCGTCACTTCCAAACGGTGCACGCCGTCCAAGCACGTGTTGCGCTGTCTCGCGAGGCGCTGCTTGCCGAGGAATTGGAATCGACCGATGGTTCTCACCACAGTCTTAAGCCTCGATTTGGCCGTGCCGTAGTTGTGCCTTGGTGGTGCCTGCAGTAGTAGCCATGACGACGCTTCTGTTGTGGGGGCTTCGATTGTGGGAATCGACAGCGGCGGCTGCACCGCAACCAACTGGTCCACACCAACAGCAAACCCTTTGAACGAACCTGCTCCGCCTCCCAGCGGCGACACGGACGGACGATCGGTGTACGCCACGTCCACAGCCACCTCCTCCTGCTGCAGTGCGGCAACAAGGTCCGACTCGATGACACCAACGATGGAACTGAGCTCGTCTAACCGAACGGCGTACACGTCGGACACTGACGTGGGAGTGCCCCCCATGCTACAGTAGCCAAGGTGGTACAACTACTGTACAGTTTGTGTGAATGAACGAAACGGCTGCTGTGCGCGATGTTCTAATCGTCGAAACTTATACGGAAAAATCTATCGATTCGTGTATCGTAGTGCATTAATCGTCGATAAATAACACTTGCTTCGCCTTGGGCGAGTGGTCGCGACCAATGCGGAGGTTCTCGGCAGAGTACTTACGGTGCATCAACGTCACCAGCGTCTTCATCTACACAACATGCGATCCCATGAACATCGTCACATGAGAAACGAGTAGGAAAGGCATGGCTTATCATTCAAACCAGCACGAGTGTGTGACTCGAATCATACTACGTACGTACCTCGTGCCACTGGACAACAACCGTGGCCTTGTTGGCAAGAGCTAGGCGGTCGAGCTTTTGCAGGATTAAACTCATATCCGATGGCTTCAAGTGGTTCAGGAAAGCTTGCAACGCCAAGTCCATGAGTGCAATTTTCGTGCAAAGCAGTTCGTATGGCGGCACGACTTCCCTCGCGTCCGTCGCCGCGTATTTCTCTGTGAGCGAGTCCACACAAGTCGACACAACGTCCAGCACCCAATCGATTTGCACGGGGAACTGTATCGGCTCGTCCGACACTTTGGTTTGCACAAAGTCCTACATATGTAGATCATCACACGACTCTTGCTTTCATAAACGGCATCGAGAATAAATGTCAACCTCGGTCGGTTGTTCGTCGTGGCTGCGATACTGCAAAATGTAAATCGCCAGTCCTGTCGTGAGCTGGGTCCCTCGTTCAGTGCGCGGCAGCCGACGGGCGATGGACAGCCATCCCGCCGACGACTGGAAGAAGCCTTCCTTGGTGCCGGCGATGCGGAGGATGAGCAGGCGGGCGTACTGCCGCCGCCACTCCCTCGGCGAAAACGCGTCCAGCAGCACTTCCATGCAATACGAGCTCAACTCGCACAGCTGGGGCCTCAAAATGTCTTCGAACTGCATGCGCAGAAAGAACACGCAACACGCACACAGGTCGTGCTCACTCGGTCGCAGCTTGTCGGTGCGCAGGGCCAGCACAAATAACATCGTCACATGCTCCATATTGACCGTGGGAAACGGCACCGACCACGTGGACGAGCTCGCGTGTCCGGCCGCCTTTTTCTTGGTGTTGAGCGCGCGCTTGGATTCTTGGAAGCCGAACATGCGGAAGCTACCGAAAAAGTGGCTCACAGTGACCTGCCACTTGGTTTTCACGGGCAAGAGGCGACTCCGACACAGCATGGCCTTGGGCAGACCGTACGTGATCTACATCAACAATGTCAACAGGGGATACGGTTCATCGCATATGCATGTATGCTGTACGTACTTGCGTAAAATTGGGGTGGTGGTCGGCCACAGCCAACGTGAAGAGGTTCATGAACGCTCCTTGAACAATGTGATGGTTTGAGTGGGTGCTCACTAGGAGGATGGATATCACACGTTCGTGAGGAAGAATGAATCATCCCACGCATATTGTGGATTCGGTACTACAGATTTCCAGACCCAAAGTCGAATCGAATCACGAATCGACGACGGTGTTGGCGAATCCAATTTTGAGTAGATTTGATTGGCTCTTACAGAAACGACAGATTCTTAAGAGCCAATCAAATCTACTGATTAGACACACCACGCGAATTTTGAAAGTTTATATTAGCGAATTCACAATATAGTCAAGTCGATTATTCAAAATTGGAGTGTTTGGGTGCTCAATCGAAATCGGCCAAATCGGCAGACAATCGATCGACCAATCAAAACCCAGAACACGAATCAAGTGGCCAATCAAATCCACTCTTGGACCATTTCAACATTGAATTAGTGTGTGAATGAAATTAGTGTGATATTAGACGATGATTTTTACATACAAACGTCAGTACAAAGAATCGATCATCGACGGATTTGGCGAACCAGCCCAAAAATCAACCAAATTTTGGGTAAAAGGACAATACTTGTAGTCATTTCCTAAAACGTACCTACGGAGAACAGCCACTGGCAGATCGCGTCGGGCACGTCGTGGTTGAGGTTGATGGCCAAGACAAGGATCGCTTGGCTCCACAGCAACGCCCCGAGTTCGTCTTCGTCGGTTGAGGCCATGCACTCGTACACGAGCTTGAACGGGCTGCGCAAGTCGGCAGCGGACGCAATGTACGCATGGTAGGTCAGCGGCTACAACGACGCGAGGCGTCAGAGTAGTCGAGGAAGCAAGGACAAGGGACTGTACCTCCGTAATGGGCTCAAACACGTAGCCAAACTCTTCGACTTCGACGTTGTCTTGGATCGTAAACAAGTGTTCGTCCGCTTGCAATTCCTTGATGTTGGACTCGACCTCTGTCGACATTTGCTGGAGGGAGCTGCTCGTCTGCTGCAGCTCGGCGCGTATGTCGGCTTCCTTGCGGAGCCGAGCCAGTCGCTCCCCTTGCTCCTTCTTCTTTTCCTGGTCCTTCTTATTCTCCGCAAAGAGTGCGTCCAAGCTGTCGAATGGAACGGACGTCTTGCGGGGTTTCTTGGCGACGCGCTTCCTACGAATATGCGCTTGGTGACGAATCAACGACATCGATGCGGTGGACGCACTTTGGTGGAGAGTCCTTCAACAGCTTCAACACATCTTCTTCGTCCGAATCATCTTGCACTCCAAGGGAAAGACGTTTCTGCGGCGTGAGTGTCGATGTCCTTTGCGGAGTCGAGTCACGTGCCGTCGACTTCACGAATGAACGTCGGACTGGTGAGACGAAAGAAGCAACACCCTTCTTCGGCGACGAGTCAAGGATACTTGACAGAGCGCCATCCTTCTCAGGCGACGGCGGTGTCACCTTTGTCGCCACCTGCGCCGCTTTGACGCGCAAGCTGCGGCGCATTTTTGAGTTACATTGACCTCTATAAATACATACTATTCAATGGTCTAATTTGAACGATTTGCCGTTACAAAATACACTTGAAAATATGCAAACTACACCTGTGAGCTACATCCTACTTTGAAGTATTAATAGTACTAACTTAGAGAGGTAGTAAGTGGTAACTTTTACTATTAATAGTACTCACTGTCGAGTATGGTGCAGGACACTGTAGTCGCTGGATGGGCTACGTACAACTTCAGCATTGGGCTCGGTTGGGTAAGACACAAATCGTAAGAGGAGGGGGCTATCGAGCACAGAAAGGGGGGCGTGTACAGGGTCGCGACTCCCGTGAATTGTGCTTTGCGAGTATTCATAGTACACCGTCAATATATTTGAGCATTAACGATTAACTATAGTACATATATCTTAGAAGCAAGCAAAACACAATCGACTCGATTGGTGGTGAAGGGGGTGCACTGTAACAGTAGTTGTTGCCCATATAATAACGTGGGTCTTGTGGAGTTGTAAACCATGCTTCACACATGAGACAACATGAGATAAGGTGTGGGAGAGGGTACGTACAGGATTGTGGCTATATATTTTCACCACTTCGTTTTCCCGCCAATCCAAAGCACCGAGCGATACGCGCACCTTCCATTTGTCGTCGTATGGCCATCATATTCAACCAAAACGACTTGGACCTTTGTGGTAGTTACAGTAAAAAACGACGCTTCAAAGGTCCGCTCGGAGCCAAAACGAAAACGGGCGAGGTATACACACATCCACACATCAACGACTGGGCATATATCGGCTCACTAGCTCAGTTTAATCTGTGACGTTAACGAGAAGCGGTTGTCCAGAGTATGTTATGTACATTGTACTGCTTTGAAGTGCCGTGGTATTGTACTAATAGTAGCATGGAGCTTCCGCACATCCTGTTTGCTACCACCGTCTACACTGGTAAGTTAGGGGGTGTCGATAGCTCCAACAAGCACGCGACTCGACTGTAGGTTAGCCATGTACAGAAGCGGACTAACGGGGGATTCCTATGCAGTGGAATGTGTGGCCACAAATGTAAGTGGTTGGTGTGTAGTGGGAAAACGACCTCTTGGTAATATATTCTTACCAATCACGGGGGGTTATTTCCGTTGCATTCGGCGCCATTTCCACCTGGAAATGGCCACCTAATCGAATTATTTTTCGGATTTTTTTGAGGTATATTTTACACCTCATTGCACCAACGGCAAGCGGGAACTTGAGCATCGTCGGCGCCGAACAAGATGATGAGCGTTGGGCAAATGTGTAGCCAGGAGGCTGAAGATGCCCCAGGTAGCGACGTAGACGTTCCGCGCACGAAGAAGTCGTCGTCCAAACGAGCACGGTCTCGGAAACACCACAGTCCCGCGCCTGTCGTCGAGGACAGAGAGTCGTCGGTGCATGAAGACGAGGATGGCGATGACGACGACGATGAGAGCTCAAAAAGTGAAAATGGTGGTAGTGGTGGTGGTGGTGGTAGCGATCACAATCGATGGTACTGCAACATCTGCAAGGATGGCGGCGAACTGCTGTGTTGCGACCGATGCCCTCGCGCGTTCCACACGGCCTGTCTCACCATGGACCCCGACGATATCCCTCGACCTGACAGTAGCTGGTACTGCAAGCTGTGTAGCGACACGTTGGAACGTCGCACCGCAAAACGCGCAATGAAGGACCAAAAGCGACACCAGCGCGAAGAAGAGAAGCGGCAGCGAGACCTCGTCCGGGAAGCGAAAATGCGCGAAAAGGACGAGGCGTTGGCGCGTCGGAGTGCCAAAGCACTGGAGGACAAGACCAAGAGGGTGCTGGATATGAAGGAGCGCATTGTGAAGAAGCAAAAGGTCACGTACAAGGATCGCGAAGAGGAGAAATTGGGCAAGATTGCCGAAAACTCGGCGGAATCGATTCGTCAGGCCAAGGAAAAGCTGGAAAAGCTCGAGAAGGAGGACCTGCTTCTAAAGAGAAAGGAGCAGGCGTTGGCCAAGAGCAGACGACAGGCCGACCCCGACGAAGTCGCCGACCTTGCGGGTCCCCTTCCAGAGTACGTCTCCTACTCTTTTTAGTTTTTGCATCGGCTCTCGTCACCCCCTTGTCGCATGTGTAGAGCCAAACCGTGCCATTTTGGTGGCATTCCGTCCACCATGTTTCGCCAAGTGCTGTCGGCATGGGACTTCGTCGTGTCGTTTCAAAATGCCGTGGGCATCTCGGCCATGACAATCGACCAACTGTGCGCCGCGCTCGTGTCGCCCAAGTTTTGTCCGCTTGTGAACGAGCTGCACATGTGCTTGCTCGATCTCATTTTGGAGAGCAGGTAGGTACTACACAAATCCAAATATGACAACTACTACGCTTGATGCATAAATAATATTCGTTTCTAATTCCATTGAAATTCCATTCATTCTTAGGGAAGTCGACACGAGTGTGTCGGAAGAAGACGCAGAGATGGACCCGTTGGACCGATACCGCTTTGAAGTCGCCCATGCGCCGTTGACTGTGGGCGTGCCGACGTCCAATATGCTCAACGTCCTGTCATGGCCGGCCGTGCTGGCCAACTTGATCACGGCCGTGCCGCGGTACTTTAACAATGCGTCGCCGGCGATCAAGGCGGCCGTGGCCGCGCTGCGTGAGACAGAGTATCCGCAGCTGCTTCTCCACCACAAGATCGCGCTGCTCGACTTGCTCGTGGCGTTGGCCTACAGCACCGACAAGATTGGCCGCATAGTCAACTTGCACGTGCAAGAAAGAACCGACGCGTCGAAGGAGCACAACCGGCTGCTGTTCCAGGAGAAACGCGATAAAGCCGAGGAAAACAAGCGGCTGGTGGAGCAGCAAAAGGCCGACAAGGCCAAGCTCGCGTCGGAGCAAAAGGTGGCCATGCAAAACTGGCTCAAGGGCGGCAAGAAGGGCGCGGCGCCCGTTGTGGACGAGGCGGTGTCCCAGTCGCCACTGGACGACGACGCGACGTCGGCGACCCAGAGCGACGACAGCGACAACAGCTCGGACGAGGACGACGAAGAACTCAAGTCCCTCCAGGCCAAAGGCATCATTTCTCGGCAAGAGTATTTGGCCCGCAAGAAGAAGCGCGACATGGAGCGGGACGCGCGGCGAAAGCACAAGGAAGAGCGCGCGAGGAGAACCAAACAAAAGGAGCAACTGCTCAAGAAGCGCGCGCTGGTGATCGAAGAGCTCAATTTGGCCATGGAGATGCGCGACTTGGACCGACTGCACATGAGTTTGAAGGCGGCCAAGGAGAACGGCATGCACACGCTCAAGAAACCCAAGCTCTCGACGACGGGCGTGTTCGTGGCCGCGACGCCCCAGGACGTGAAATTGTACGAAGACGCGGTCGAGTTTGCCGATCGGCTCGAGGCGGACGCGGCCAAGGAGCACGAGATGGACGAGCGCAAGCAAGCGTTTGACAAGGCCATGCGCGAGTTCTTTATCCGGACGCAATCGCTGGGCAAAGACTCCAACCGGAGCAAGTACTGGCTCTTCCGTGGCGACGCCAAGCGCATGTACGTCGAGCACGTGGACGGCAAGTGGTCGTACTACGACTCGCCGTCAAGCGTCCAGCAGCTTATGGACGCGCTGCCCGAGGGCCATCCGTTGAAGAAGGAGCTGGTGCCCCACGTCGACACATTGGTCAAGGAAATGAACAAGGCGGTGGCGCCGTCGTCCACTGATGACTGGGAAAACAAAGCCAAGACATGGGGCAGCAGCGCCTTGTACGACCTGACGCTGGACGAAGTGAAGAAGGAACTGCTGCAGGTGCAAGCGGCGGTCACCACGCGACTGATCAACGCGCGAGGGACGATGTGGGTACACATTGACCAAAATGAATGGTCGGAGAACGTGGCGGCCGCAACGTCCATCTCGGGGCTTGTGAACGCGGTGTTGGCGCTGGAGCGGGAAGTGTCTGACGATAAAGGGCAGTACAAAGTCGAAGAGGACGAAGACGACGAGGAAGAGGACGAAACGTTTGTCCAGAACTCACTTTGGCCGAGCAAAAAGTGCCGCGACCGGTGGATCGCAGTGGTCACGCAGTGCCAAACGCTGTCAAACGTAGCGCTGTCACTGGCATCTCTGGTCCAGCGCATGGACATTTGGACGTTGACGGGGGGAGGCGGAGCGGCCAAGAAAGATGCGAAAGCAAAGCGAGAGCTTAAGAGGGCCGACGAGGACGGCGGCGACGGGGGGTCGGAAATATCTCCTACCAAGCCCAAACGACAGCCTCCGCCATCGACACACCCTCCCGAGCGAGAGTGGGAAGAATACTGCTGTATCTGCAAAGACGGAGGTGACTTGCTCTGCTGGTATGAACTATAATTTTTCATATACATATATTATTGACCTATGGTATTCGATAGCGATGGATGCCCCAAAGTGTTTCACTTTACATGCGTGGGGCTTCGCCGCATCCCGCGAGGCAAAACGTTCTGCCCGTCGTGCGATCGCAGTGTCAAGCCAGTGTACCCCGTGGTCATGCCGGCCTCTGACAACGAACCCAAAGCGGATCAGCCATCGACTAGTGCTGCTGCTCCCATAATGAAGTCGGAAGAAGAGTGGGATGCGTTCTGCGGCATTTGCGAGAGCGGGGGCGAACTGCTCCTGTGCGACGGATGCCCCAAAGCGTTTCACGTCGAGTGTCTCCAGTTGGAGGTACGAGATACACATGTCGAGTGCGTATATGGCCACACGAATGCTAAAATCTATGTGTAGAACTTTGACGAGCACGACGACTGGTTTTGCGTCGACTGCGAAAACCAGTCGTGTGGATTGTGCAAGAAAGGGCGCATTCGCATGGACTCGCACGTCATTTGCGGCAACGAGGCGGGTACGAAAGGGTGCGAGCGGGTGTTTCATCTGGTACGACCCGTCGGCAGCTGCCTCGAATGTGTCCTCCCATGTTTGTCCTAGAAATGCGTCAAGTTGGACCAAGTACCGGTGGACGATTGGTTCTGCAAGCGCTGTCTCAAGCTGGCCAAGTAATTAATACACATGTCAACTAGCGCCGTCTATGTTTGTGTTTGGCAACTCGGACGATACGCGAGTAAAGACGTGGTGCCACTGACTCGCCACTTTGGCCCACGAAAACGCACTCCTGGCGTGTGCTTTCATGTCGGATCGAAAGCGCGTCGTGTTCATGTCGACGGCGGCAACCACTGCGTCCACCCACGCCAGTCGCCACGCTTCCGCTACGTCGTACTTGAACATCGTGTTTTCCCAAGCAATCACCATACGTACTCATGGGCCCTTCTCGCAGTCCTTCCACGGGGCCTAAATCAAACGGCCCCACGACTTCGGCCAGCGCCCCGCGCTTGGACGTGATGGGAATCGCGCCATGCGCCATCGCTTTCATGATGGACACGCAGCTGGTTTCCGGGTACGTTGTCGGGTACAAGTAGAACCCCGCCGCCGCATACCTAACAGATTCAACCCCTTTTTATATACATGGAGGAGAGAGAGTGTATGTACATATATGTACCCCTTGGCTAGTGTGTCGTGGTCCACTAGACCAACGTACGTGATGCCATCTTGGCGCAAGAGCAGCTCCATGCGCTGCCGCCACAGGTCGGAAGGCTGGGCAAACTGAACAAATGCCCGAGTGAATCCATAGTACACCTACCCCAGCCTCAGACGAGTATGTATCGGTCACATCATGAGGAACGTACATGCAACGTGGCGGTGGGGAGGCGACGGCGGATGTCGCCCCACGAGTCTAACACAGTTTCCAAGCCCCGGCTTGGAGAGCTGCCGTACACGAAATGCGTGGGGGTGTTGATGCCTTGGTCAGCCATCGCAGGGGACGAAACGACGCCGTTTCCAGTGGCGATGACTTTGAGAGCAGCGTGCGGGGCAAACCCGGCGGCGTGGGCGTGCGAGAGGCAGAAGATGCCGTCGATAGTCGCCACGTACGCCGGAGTGAACGCCCCCGTGTCGATCATATCGTGAAGCCACACATACACGAGCTTGGCGTGGGTTGCCAATGCCGTCGAAATGTGGTATCTCCACGCGATAAACACGTCTACATTCAGTCCGAAACAACAATTTTTAATACTAGTACATATAAGCAACGAGTTCGTATTCTTACCCGACACTAGAGTTGGATCGAAATGCGAATGGGGATGCCACTGCACCCCATAGCTGTCAGTGGTGGCGTGTGGGGGGTTTCCGTACACGTGGACCGCATACCCCAGCGCCACGAGTTCCCTCGACAGGTAAATCACCGCTTCTTCCGACCCCCCCACCCCCTCGTCGATGGAATGGGGGCCCCACTGTCCCCACCACGACTGGCCATACTCGTGGCAGTAGATGACCAGGCGTGGTTGCTGTTGATCCAATCGGTGGATTGGCGGAGGGTGGTTGTCTTGGCTTGTTTCGTTAAGCGTGGTCTTACGCAAAGACTCATGCTCGAGGCGCACCGTCTCAAACGACAACGCGTTGGCCTGGTCATGCTGCCCCACGCGGCTGAAGAGGGCAGCCAGATTGTATCGCGCTCGGACGACCACGGCCGTCGAAGGTGATGATGTCATGTTGAGGACTCGTGCTAAGCAATCGATGGCTTTAAAGGGCTCGCCGGCGCCAGCTATTGCGTACGCGACTTCGAATCGAATGTCCCACTCCGATCCAGATGGCAACAATCCAAGCAATTTCTACCACATGTATCATGTGACCTTGTTCGCTGCAAGTATCGGGGGTACCTACTGTACCTCTCCATACTGGTGATAGACGTCCACAAGGTTGGAGGTTTGCTTGGTATCTCGAAGCAGCGTCATGTAGTTTAAAAAGACTTGGGGCTGATGAGGGTCCAGTGCCAGCGCCGTGGCAAACTACCCAGTGAAATATGACATGTTGATGTGTAAATCAGTAGAACAACATGGACTCGATATAGTACATGGTGTGTGGCGTTGATCGTGTCGTTGAGCACTCGGAAGACTTGGCCAAGGTTGCCATGGAAGAACCCGACGTTGGCTACCTCCAATGACGCCTGCATGTATTGCATGGCTAGGCCGTATTGTTGCTCCTGGTACAGCGCCAGTCCATACAAGTGCAGAGCGTCGGGGTGTCCAGATTCGACGGCCAAAATCCGAGCGTACCCTCGTTTCGCAGCAACGACATTGCCGTGTTCGTGCAACGCCAAGGTCTTTTGAACCATGTCCTGCAACGTCGGTCGACTTAGATGGTTGCGGTCGCGGGGGTCCACGACAATATGCATCCGGCGGCGGCCCAAGCTCGCCATGCACATGTACGCGTGCTCCAAGTGGAACGTCGTGCGGCGGTTGTCAAACAGCGGAGAGGTCGCAGCCCGGTGCGCCAACTTGAGTCGGAGTGCGTTCAACGCAGCGGTGTCGGTCGTGGCCAGTCGCACGGCCAAGTCCTCGTACTCTTTGATGGAATGGGTGGTCCACAACGACGACCCCACCGCGGTGTCCATCAAACTGCCGGCGACCCGACTCGCAAACGTGGCGCCCCATAGCGTCAACACCGGCAAGTGGGTCCACAGCATGTCGCTCGCGGTTGTGTGCGCCGTGTAAATGACACTGTCCAGGAACAAGTGGGCGTGGCGAAGGCGCGCGAGGTGTTGGTCCCGCGGTAGTCGGGGCGCGAACACCAGCCGGCTCGGGTCCACACCTCGGGCCGCCGCCTCCGCCCGGAACGTCCGCACGACGCCGGCGTCGACCCGCGACGGCTCCAACAGCCAGAGCACGCTGCGGGGCACGCGCTTCAAGATGGCCATCCACAACCCAAACGCCACCGGCTCCATCTTGTTGATCGTGTTGAAGTTGCAAAACACAAACGAGGACTGGTTGAAATCGTGCCACGTCACCGTGTCCACGCCCCACTCGTACGAGTTGACCTGATACGTATGAGGCAAATACACGAGTTTCTCCGTAAACGTTGCGGCGGCTTTGGTGGGGGGCACGACGAACCGATCGACTACCGCGTAGTCGGTGAAGGATGAGCCCATGGTCCCTGGGTACCCCAAGTAGTTGACGAGGATCGGCGCCGGCTTGAGACCCGAGATGCCCACGCGCGCCCCCCGAGTGTGTGCCATGAGGTCCACGGCGATGTGGATGCCGTCGGCATGGATCTGCGCCGCGATGTCGACGTCGGACGCTTCAAATACGTCGCGAAAGACATCGCACGCGGCTTCGCTTCGGTGGCGCCACGTGGAATTGTCGTTTGGGCCGTACGCGTACGCGTGCAAGTGGATGCGTGAGTGGTTGTGCTGCTCCAGGGCGCCGATCGTGAGCTGGCCCATCGGATGGTTGCGAAAATCATAGCCAACGTAGCCAACGTTCAATTTGGTGGTGTGGATGGTCGGGGGGTGGCGGTGCCGGACAGATTGGTCCCACTGCCCCGAGTTAGACATGGCTATAACCTTCTTCATCTCGTCCGATATGTTCATGAGCGTAGCGTCATATGGAAGCAACGCCGGAATCTGCCGCTCCATGCCGGTGCCCTTTGGAGTAGTGGTTACGCGTCCAACTAAAGTGGAGTTGGTCTTACTTGCAACGAGGCACTTGTGAGCTCCAGTAGCCTATCGTGCCAGTCGTCGGCGTCTTCCCACAAACACAACTGCCGCCTCGCCGTGATGACGTTGAGCAGCGTGTTGCCGTCGGTCGGTCCAAGGTACAAGGCCTGCGTGTGCGACGCCAGTGCGTCATGCACGTGCCCAATCTCTTTGAGAAACTGGCCTTGGTTGTTTAGAGCCCCGATCACTTCTCGAATGGTCGAGCCGAGCTGGACGAGGAGGTGCTGGTGGTGCAACGCCTTATCCAGGCGACCCCTACACTCGACTCATGACTTGTGTATTGTTGCATTCAACGGAGCAGCAAGCACCGTACTGATGAAAGTAGATGTTGCCCATGTCCAAATGCGCGCCGCCATGGGATGGCTCGAGCGCCAGCACATGTCCAAGCAGCAGCTGCGCTTGGTCAAAGTTTCCAAGACCATACAGAGCCGACCCCTTGTTGTACAAGGCAGACACGTACACGCCGACACTGCAGTTGGGCGGCGACACTTGCAACGCAAGGTCAAAGTGGTGGATTGCGCGTAGCGTCATCTCGTAACTCTTTTCTTGGCCAAGCCGTACCAAATACCCGAGGTTGTTGTGGGCCGATGCATACGTTTCCCAGTCGCCTTGCTGCAGTGACACCACCGCAGCGTGTTCATGCAGCCTCTTGGCTTCGTCATTCGCATGTCCTCTTCTATGGACAAGGATACCCAAGTTGTTGTACGCAGGACCAAACAACTCATACGCCTGGATGGAGTGCTGGTAGTGGGTGATAGCGTCGTCGACTCGACCATTGTCGGCAGCGCGCTGTCCCAACGTGTATTCCTTCAGCGCAGCAATCACTAGATGCTGGTTGGCTTCTGTCGAAGGGTAGATATATCCGCCCACGACATGGGTCCATGTGAGAAAGACAATCACCACGAGGACTAACGTTGCCCTTGTAATAGACATGGCGGCACTGCCTTTTCACGTTGAAAGATATCAAACCGGATAATCCCTGACATAGCCGGATAATCGAACCATCCATTGGCCAATCAAAACGCGAGCTGCGAAGAAAGTGCCAACATTTCAATTTCTTCATGAGAACAACCTCGGCGTAGGCGGCCTTCAGTCTGGACATGCACAAGACGAAGACAAGTACAGTAGAGGGAAGTACCTTCGCTCACATCATATAAATGAGCAGTAAAAGGCATTTATATGGGAATGTGGAGGTACGAATCTTCCCCACTCTGAGTAAGCAGCGAACCAAGTCAGGTGCTGGCGTGACTAACCTGCCACGTCATGCCACATCCAAAATCATTCTTCGCTGGTCAGTAGGATACTGTTCCTGTCGACATGTCACCATTGCGTTACGCCACACACAAACCGCGGGTAGCTGCTACTGTAGCTAGGTAGCTCTCTTCGCTTCCAGGTATGGATGGGGTTATGTTGAGCGACGGGGCGGAGGCAGTTTGGTGCCAAGCACGATGCGCTCACAAGTATGTACATGTCACACACTACCTTGCAAGAAGAGGGCAACAATGCAGAGAGAATGAAGCATGCATGCGTCAGTGGAAATCTAGAACCAGACAACCATTCCTAGCCTAATACTTAGTGTAGGTTGATATATCTGGGAGTGACGGGCTCAAGAGATGATCGACAGACAGGCTAGGAAACGTCAAAGTACGTTTATAACGATTTAACGATTGACAGTAAATATGGTGTTTATGACAGTAAATATGGTGTTTATGACAGTAAATATGGTGTTTATAAGTGAATAGTAGTTAAATACAGCACAGCCCATGGCGAACGCACGCAGCACATAGAGAGAAGATGGAGGAGGGGTGGATGGGTATGTGATCAATGGGTTGGCATCGTCACCAACATGTCGTCGATGACTTCCCAGTCGTCTTGAATCAGGACCCATTCGTGCGCCGAGCGGCGGTGCTCGCCATAATGCTGCAACATGTCGTCCAATGAAACCTCGACCCCCATGTCGTTGATCACGTCTACGCGGGATCGAATCACGTCGACCGCCGCGCCAAGGTCAAACTCGGTTTCCACGAGAACTTCTTCGAGGATATCTCGGTCCATGGCGGGAAACGACATTTCCAACAACGCTAGATTCTCTTCCTTCCAGAACAAATACTCGGCCGCAACGTCGTATCCCATGTTGGACAATTCGCACTCCAAAGCAGTCCCGGCGTGCAACGCATGCACAGACAACGGGCTTGTCTTCGACATCATGTTCATGCACTCCTTGGGGATCACAATGTGCGGTCGGGTGGCAAAGAAGGTGGTTGTTGAAGTTGGTGTAGGGGTGTTTTTCGCGGCGAACGACGCATCGGGCTGTGGGGACGACAGTTCCGTCCATTGAGGTTGCTGGCACTCAAACGCTTGCATCGTGACGTACGAGGATGACTCGGACAAGTTGCGCTCAAAGTTCCACCGCGAGGAAAGGTTGCAGCGGCGGCGGACTACTTGAGAGGTCGAACAATTCCGAATGACAAGAATCTATCTCCAAGTACAATCCAATATTATACACCCAAAACCGTGATCGATACAAATGTCAAGTCTAATTATCCGTCGGAAAAAGACACCATCGGAAAACCATGTCCGGATAATTCCCGGCTCTCCAAACATGTTGCGTTTTGTATGGTATACAATCCAACGCCGTCCAAATGCCTTAATTAGTACAGGCGCCCTTGAAGTTCTCTGTGACCAAACTGAAATAACGGGATTTCATTGGCCAACCAACTTCAATTACGGGATTCCATCGACCAATCCGAATCGTTCCACTTAAACCATCAACTTTATGCAAAAATGGATGGGTGTTACGCAATTGTATCTGAAACATCCCAAGGGCCACAAGAAGTCACCATGTTGATCTGATGGAGATCCCGCAAAGGAGAACGAATGTCGTGACGGAAGACTACATGGAGGTAGGTACTGTATACGTGATGGCGCAATCACACGTCGTTCGGTGCGGTGGACGTGGATACAGCATTGGTTTCACGACGTTCGCGCGACGAGTATCTTGAGAGAGAGCTGCAGTGTAGACCCATTGGTAATCGAAGTCGTACTGATCGGGAGGTTCTTCCTGATCGGGAGGGTCTTAGTCTGCCGACGCTGAATGAGCTTGGACACATAGAAGCAAGAACGTCGTTTGACATGAGCTTGAGAAGTCTATTAACTCGTATCTATTCCCACGACGCGAGTCGGCAGTCTCGTGGAGATACGATGGATATTACACTACATGGACGCATAATCCGCCATACAGATGGTGTGTCCATGTAGTCCTATCTATTTTCGTTGAACGAGCGCCGCGTTGATCGCGTCCGCCCACTTCTTGGACCCGTTCACTTGGTCCGTCAGGTGGTACACGCGATTCGGCTATGCACATATCATACATATACTGAGTATCCCCACATATGTCGAATTACAAATCGTACTGTGACAACGTCGAATTGGTGGCTATTCTTGACCGTGATGTACAACGAGTCGGACCACGGGATCTCGCCTACACACACACACTTGTCAGTGATTCCCGCACAAAACTGTATCGCAGACTACCTTTTTGCCGCATGCGGATGGCGTCTATGTAGATCAAGCGCGGCTTGGACGTCAAGATGAACTACATACATGATGGACATGTTCAAAGCCAACAGCCTGGCTGGTACGTATGATAGTTTGGTTACTTGGCGAGTCTTGGAGAACAGACCCTTGCGCTTGCTCACGAGGCCACTCATGCGAATCACTTCGTCATCCAGTAAGAACCGATTCCTACCCCCCCCCCCGTGAGTGATCCTCGTTTCAAACACTGTCACACATGTACACTTTACCACAACGAGTTCATGCGGGACGATTGCGGCGGCACGGACGCCTTGGCCCGCGCTACTTCGACCGGATTCGAATGCGATGGCTGCGGTGCCACGACGTGCGTTGCTGTCGCCGCCGTCTCCCTATCGCAAGCACACACAACGACGTCCATCAATGTACATATACCGTGTCGCATGCAAACGTACGCCGCCGCGTGGACGATCATGGGCTCTGCCATGAGCCCCGACGAAATGTTGAGTTCCGTAGCAACCCCTGCGAACAGCCAGTCTTCCGTCGCTCCGTCCTACCATGTATGTACGAACCGTGTCGCATACAGGCTCATTCAAGATGGACACACGTACACTGTCTGTGGGGGGCAGCGGCGAAATGTGCGGTACGTACGGCGACGTGGACCGACCCAACGTCGCCCAGTTGATGCCTGTAAAGAACGGATGGCTCTACATGACACCCCCAAGTCTGTTAGATGTTGCAAGCATATCTGCACATGATGCACAAGTACCTTCAACGCGTCGTACCCGTTGCCGTCGGCGTTGGTACCCGCCCCCAGCCGTGCCTTGGGGTCTTGTAGCAGCAGCCGCGAGCACAAGTCCTGCGCGACTTCTGGGAACCCCTCGGGGTACGAGAAATCCTCGGCCGGGTGGTTTAAAATCTACCGCCATCCAACTCACATGAGGACACATGCAACGACGTGTCTAGGAGATGTCAGGGTACCTGCTGGAAGGTCAGGTATTCGTTTTCGGCACGAAACGCGGGCCGCCCCACGAGCATCTGGTAGATCATGCACCCGACGGCCCAGAGATCGCAGCCGCGGGACGCTTCGTGGTCGCGGAGTACTTCGGGCGAGACAAACTCGGCCGTGCCGCAAAACGTGTTTTGGCGCGCGCCTTCTTCCGTCTCGTCCTGGTCGGCACACGCGCATGAAACGATGATGTGACAGGTGGGTGGGTGAGTGGGTGGGTGAGTGGGTGGGTGGTTGCAGCATACCTTGGCCGTGCCAAAGTCGGTGATCTTCAAGTGGCCGGCTTCGTTAAGGAGAATGTTTTCGGGCTTGATGTCTCGATGGATGATGCCCTAGGAAGAGAAGCACGTGACGAGTGAAGATACGACGGAGACACGCACCATTTCATGAAGGTATTCCAGGGCTTCAATGACTTCGGCGATGAAAAACTGCGTTACGTCAAACGAACATGCTTTGTTCGTGACGCCTCGCGCGGCCTGCTCCTTTTGCGCTTTGCTACATGTGTGTGTGGTGGACATGGGACGACATGAAGAAGGAGGAGGAGGACTGGTAGGGACGTACACAATCACGTCGAGCAATTCGCCGCCGCGACACAGCTCCATGACCATGTACAGGTAATTGCGATCTTGGAACGAGAACGACAGCTTTACAATGCGATCGTGCGACACTTTCGAGAACACCTTGCGCTCCATCATCACGAACTTGACTTTCTTCTCCTTGCTGATGAAGCGTTTCTCCATGATCTTGACTGCAAACTCCTCGTTTGTCGCCTTCAGTCGCGCATGCACCACCTACATCATCATCTTGGCGATGAACACAACAACCCATGTACGGAAGAGTCCATTGAGCGCATACCCGCGCATACGCGCCTTCCCCAAGTGTTGTCCCAAACCAGAAGTCTGCCGGCGACTGCGTCTTCAGCCTATCCGTCATCGCTGCCTCGGGTTCCTGGGGTCTAAAAGTATTCAGTGTCGTCACCAACACTTGGAATTTGTATGCAAGGTATTTTCACATACTAAACTCAAGATCGTTTTCACATAGCCGTGCAACATACCTACATTCACTCCACGATTGGTTGAATTTTTACAAAACCATCCAATATATTTCCGATTTCATCGTATTTTGCGCCAACCAAAGTCGTTATAGTTCATGTCCGTGGCCAAGACTGTCACGCCTCTTGCAGTATTGTACAGGTTGTTTAACATGTACGGTGTTCGTGCATGAGTTCTTATGCAATGAGAATGGTATCTGAGCGATACGTACACGTACCTCGCCAACAATGTTGTGCGTGGTACAGTACTACAGTACTGTACGTACAGTAACTGGACAGCAAACTCAAATGTCCTGTGTGGCGGTAACGTTACCTTGTGCATGCTGGACTCGTGGCTTCTTGGCGAAAGGTAGATCAGGTGTACAACTACTGTATGTAAGCTTACTGCGATCCTGCAAGGACAGTGTTGTCCTCGTGTCTTTGCATCGCTGCATGAAGGTGGCAAGGTGGCAAGGTTGGTTGACGCGCTTACAGTACTTGTCATCAACGAGCGGTTTCATTTCACATGCACATTTTTCGCCCAATGGCATCCAAGTTGCAGTGGGCAATGTGGTATCCTCGCCTTTTCATTGGCTGAAATCAGTACTTATCCTAGCGAGTAACTCCGTGATGCAACACGGCTGGACGTTGCCATACGCTTCTTTTGGAGATCTCGTCGTTGGCCTGGCGGAAATTGCCCTAACCAGTGATTCCGTTAAAGATATCCTACAACTTCCATGGAAACAATCCAACTCAACCAGCACTACGAGATCCTTCAACCTCCGCGAATTCGATGGCAGGGAGCTTCCGCGAGCACAACGAGCCCATCCGTCCGCTGGCTCTGGCGTTGGTTGCCGTTGTGTTTCTCTCCGACATCCTCTACGCTGGCCTTATCTTTGGCTGGGCGCCGCTGTTGCTCCTGCTGCAAGAAGAAGACCAGTACGGCGAACTGTGCAATCACATCTCAACGAATGTCACAGTGTCTGCAACCCGGTGCAGCTTGCAAGACAGCCGACTGAACATGGTGTACGCCATTGCGTCCGTGGCGGCCAACCTTAGCTCCCTTCCGGTCGGTTGCATGTTGGACTACTTCGGGCCCAAGTACTCGATCTTGGTGGCGGCAGTGTTTGAGGTCTCCGGTCTGTTCCTCCTTGGTGCCGCAGACTCCAAATCATTTGACGTGTTTATTCTCGCATACACGCTGTGTGCCACGGGTGGCTGCATCACGATGATGGCGTCGTATCCCGCGAGCTTCCTTATCCTGTCCCACCAAACGGTCATTCTAGCGGCCATATCGTGTCTGTTCGACTCGAGCAGTGTCGTGCTGCTAGGCATGTACAGCCTCCACTCGTCGTTCGGGTTCACGAGGCAACAGATCTTCTTCGTCTATGGATGCATGTCCATTGCCATGTACGGGCTCCTCGTAGTGTTGTGGCACGCCAACGAACAGTATTTGCCCGACCAGTCGGAAGACGAGGCACAGAACGCTCCACCACCGACGAAGGACATTACGTTCACGTCCCCGCTCCTGCAGCCCATCGCGCGGCGCCACAGCATGCGGGACTCGATTGAAAAGTACGGCACCCTCTCGGAAGACGAGCTGATCGAGGCCAAACCCCTTCCCGACGTCATTCAAGTACTGTATGCATGTGCCCATGTATACAACGTTATACCACCGACGACTAACCACCACTTCCTTAGCTGCACAAAACTGGTCACGTCGGTCAAGAACTGGTCACGGACTTTCCACTCACGCAGCAACTGCGCACGTTTGAGTTTGGATTTCTCTTGGCGTACTCGAGTTTGCACGTGCTGCGTGCCAACTTGTACATTGGCACTAACAACAAGCTCCTCGAGGTAGTGTATCTCGTCAACCCTATTTAGTACACATGTACGTACGTTTGCTCAAGGTGCTGTAGGAGTACGGCGACGCGGCCACGGGGTACTTCTACACCAAGATCTTCAGTTTCATCCTGCCGCTGGGGTTCATATTTGTGCCCTTTATCGACTACTTTGTCGAGAAGAAAGGGCTGGCGGTGTCGCTGCACATTGCCACGGGCCTGGGCGTGGTGTACAACAGCCTCGCCATGGTGCCGCTCTTGCCGCTTCAGTCCGTCGTCTTCTTTCTCTTCACGGGCTTCCGGGCGTTCCTCTACGCTGCCATCTCGGCCTTCGCCGCCAAAATCTTTGGTCTGGCCAACCTCGGCACCGTCGTAGGCCTGACGTTCACGTTTGGCTCCATCGTGAGTTTGCTGCAAATTCCCGCCGTGTGGTTCGCAAACGACGTGGGCAACCACATGCTGGTGTATGGGATGTCCACGGCGCTGTGCTTTGGCCTGATCCCACTCACGGAATGCTATCGACACCGCGCGGCGCTTCGCATGAAGCGACAGGCACGGGTCATGGAGGCGCTGGGGGAAGACGAAACCACGATGTTGTCGCCGATCAAGGGCCTGCAGTACCGCCGGTCGCCATGCGCGCCATCGCCAGTTTCGCGGCGGCGAGCGTTGTCCAAGCACGACAGTCTGCCATGAGATTTCATGCCTTGAAACGAGAGTGAGCGAGAGACGTGTGTGTAGAATATGAGATATATATATAAGATACAACATGATATATTATCGATGATGGTGTTGTTTGGTGGAATAACTTAGAGATCGCTCGTGCGTCGAGAAGGATGGTCGAGGTGCCGACTCGACGCGTGGTTGTCGAAGCTGGGGCGGCCAAAGATCGCCTGCCCCGTGTGTGGCGTCGGGTCGGTGGCACTCCGTGTCAAGGGAGGAATGATCACCAGCGCTCCATTGTGCGTGTTGAGCATGGGCAGCGTCGCCGAGTGCTCCATGACGTTGCGCCTGTTGACGATGAGTTCGCTACCAAGCGTGGCTTGGACATTCTCAAACTTGCGCATGATGCGCGACTTTGCGGGCTTGGTCGAGTTGTGGGCATGGATCACGTCGTCGTCGTCGTCCAGGGCACTCATGGATACCTGCGAGCAGTATCTCAGTTTGAGGGTTTCCCGTATGTGCTCTTGGTTGCATGACAGGGAGGCCAAAGCTGCTGTCGCCGCCGTCGCAGACGTCGACCCCATGGAAAGATCGGTTCTCGTACCAAAGTTAAACAACGAACAAAAAACGCATCCCTCCCATCAAATGGTTTTATCTACCAGTTTGTATTGGACACGTGAAACCACTTCGGTGTTACTTGCTATACCGCAGCCAAGAAAGGTGTGCTGATTCACAGCAGCAATCTGCATCGCACGGTACAGCCTCATTCAGGTTAGTACCGCCCCACAGCCCACACCCTGATAGGGACGCACAAGAAGGAAGAGCTACACCCCCCCCCAATCGACTGGTCCTAGTGTCTCTGTCACCCATTCGGCGGCAGGTGACATACATTCCGCCTTCGGAATGGCGATCGCAATTTTGGACACCTTTTTTTTTCGTGTTGGCAGGATGCACTTGCGCAGTCGCAATGCTGTTCTGCGCCAAACGCAGCATGTAGCCATGCCTGCTGTTCATAGGAAGCGAGGAGCGTCAGGTACATCGAAAAGCATCAAGATGGAAGTCAAGACCGAGGCAATGGAGTCCCTGAATCCAAAGGCAGAAGAGAATAGTGGCTTCAAGGAGGAACAGCTTGGGGTCGTGGTCGTCCCTGCCATGAAACTGGAAGTGGTTGAGACGGGTAGCTTCGTCAAGGACGAGGAACCAACAGTTGGAATCAAGACTGACGATGAAGCCAATTCACGAAAGATGGTGAAGAAGAGCAAACATGCGCATGCCCCTGTGAATTGGAAGGCCATGTGGGATGGCATCGCTGGCATGCGGGCAGAAAAATCCGCCGCCGTGGACGCCCAAGGATGCGAAGTATATATATAATCGATGCGGTCTTTACCGGGAGTGATATGTTGATGTAGACATTCAACGACATGACGCTGGACCCGCCCGTGCGGCGCTTCCACGTACTCGTCGCGTGTATGCTGAGCAGTCAAACGAAGGACCCCGTGACGGCCGCCGCCATGGGTCGCCTTCGAGCCCACGGTACATACTGCCGCGCTTTCTTGCTCCATGAGAATGCAACTCACACGAACCTCAGGGCTGACGGTCGAGTCGATGCTGGCCATCAAGCAAGCCGACCTCGCCGCGATGCTTCGACCTGTGGGCTTCTTCAACAACAAAGCCAAGTACATCCAGCAGACATGTACCCTACCCCCTTGGGAACGACATTATCCCAATGTGCATATTGACCACTAGGCGCGACTCTCCAATCGTTGTATCAGTCGGACATTCCGTCGACATACGAAGGCCTTGTAGCGTTGCCTGGCGTCGGCCCCAAGATGGCGACGTTGACCATGTCCTGTGCCTGGAACAAGTACGATTTTTGAGCTGTGCGTGCACACAGTGTCCAAGCTAATGACGTGGCAGCACCGTAGGGATTTGCGTCGACATCCACGTGCATCGGATTGCCAACCGCCTGGGGTGGGCAAAGACATGGGCCAAAGGCGGCAAGAGCCAGGATCCTGAAAAGACGCGAAAGGTTGCTCGAACACGAACGAATGAACGACCGAGGTTGAAGTTTCGTAGGAGTTGGAAGACTGGCTGCCTAGGGAGCACTGGCACGAGATCAACGTGCTGTTGGTCGGGTTCGGACAGCAGCTGTGCACACCTCTACGGCCGAAATGCGATTCGTGTGCCATCAACCATCTGTGTCCATCGGCGTTCAAGAAAGCCTCGCCATGATGGATGTATTTTACGTACTGTAGTACTATTAATAGTATTTTGCATTTTACCCAGCAAAATTTGGGCTTGTGAGTCATTTCACCAAATATTAGCATTCGAATCCCATTTTTGATCTAATTTATATTAACGTACTACTGTAGTAGTACTTCACAAAGATCAGTATATTAATAATATATGTGGTTTTGTCCAATACGGAGGGACTGGGCCAAATCAATCATTTGGATTGGCAGAAATTCGAGAGGACGCGATTTGATTGGCTTAGGCGGGTTCTTGAACCCATCCTCTTATGCCGCTCACGGCTGCAGTTTCGAATCGATTAGACTATATAATACCACTTCAGCTCGTTTTCACAGTTGATAATGCAATGGAACGACACCATCGAACGACACGAAAAATAGGCGAGGACTCGGGCAAAGTAGGGGTGTCCTCGTTGGTGTCGTCAAAACACTTAGTTTACACACATGCATTGATCGAATCAAACAACTCGACTAAATGCACACGGCAGCAATGATGGCCGCGGCCGCGAGCGTCGCGCCCGTCTGATTGCGGGCCCCCGTGGCAGTTTCCTCGAGCTGAATCAACTTTTGCGCTTCGTCGCTGAGGGCGAAATGGAGCAAGCAGGGCTTGACGGCATCTCGAAGTGTGACGGAGATTTGGTCCAGCGACTGGTACCGCGTCTGCAGGCCGTTCACGGACTTGAGTTCGTACGCGTGGGTGACACCGGCGCGGCCGAGCACGCCGCGGGGGTCCACGGACTTGACGAGCGGCGCGGCGGGGGGCGGGATGAACTGCAGCAACTGACTCCGTCCGCTGTCGTGGCTGACCTTGAGTTCCTGCATCGTTGCGTCGAAGTTGCGCTCCACGACCGGATGGCCGTTGGCCGCGTCGAGGATGTAGCCAGGAGCGATGTCGTGACGCGTGGTACGCTTCACGACGACCTGCCGCGTGACCTGCTCGATGCCAAACGTGACACCAACACTCGGCATGTTGTTCTTCCACACGAACTCCACAGTTGGCCGCGTGGACGACTTCATGCGTTGCAGCTCGAGCCCGAGGGATTCGCCCATCCACGTGACATCGATGGTGGTTTGATTCTCGTCGCCCATGAAGAACGTCGAGCAACTAGCTTGCCGATGTAAGTGATACTCGCTGTCCTCGCTTGCGCGTGACGGTGGTGTGGACGGTAGATGGCTATGGTTGGAAGGAGCATTCAAGTTAAGCCGGCGGAGGTTTGCTGGAGCTGCGGGGGGGGGTATTTCTCGCGGAGATGTGGTTGGAGATCGCTGCGGTGGCGTCAAGGATGATCGACGTGGTGGGCTGTTCCATGAAGATTCTACCGAAGTGGGCGGGTCTGGGTGGTTGTCAAAAGACGATCCAGCTCGAGTAGCGCCATTCACTGGGGATCCGACGGACTCGTCATCGGAATCACGGAACTCGAGCGGATGATGCAGCACACTGTCGTCGACAGGCGTCGATGGCTTGGCCATACTTTTGAATTCGGTTGAAATGTGACCAAAAATCTCATATGCCCAAGAATCGAAGTTCGAAGTTGTCATGGACTCCAAAACTATTTCCGCCAGATGAACGGGTACTGATACCCAGATGTCTCGGAAGGATCGTGATCGTTGCGCCCAGCCATGCAACGTCGCGCCCAGGCATGCAACGTCGCGCCCAGGCATGCAACGTCGCTCCCAGCGATGTGGTCTTCGCTCCACGCTACATAGACGGCCATCTCACGGCGAGCTTACCAGGTAGTTTAGCGATAGTTGACAGCTTAGCTGTACCTGGTTGGAATTTGAAGGTGATCGAAGTTCGAAGTTCTGTTCGTGAAATCGACAGCGCACTTTACCAAGCTCATTTGCAACGCTCAGAAAGAACCACGTAGCTTGGCGATGGGTTGTTGGTCGTGTGAAGCTTGTGGAGTTGTGGGCTTGGCCGCTGTCGTGGCGCCGTTGCTGTGGTTGATTCTTGGGTTCGTGTATGGATCCATCCGATCCATCTCGCCTAAGATGCCAGTCCAAGGACGAAAGGTAAAGGTGACGTTCCTCCATCCCGACCTCGGCATAGGCGGCGCGGAAAACCTCATCGTCAACTGCGCTGTGGCACTGCAGAACAAGGGGTACGAGGTGCACATCTTCACGTCCCACCACGACCCCAACCATTGCTTTCGCGAAACCCGCGGCGACGGCCCGCTTGCCAAATGGGTCGTCGTCCATGGTGACTTCCTTCCACGGACCGTGTTTGGCCGTCTCTACGCACTCTGCGCGTTCGTGCGCATGGTGTACATCACGTTGTACTTGTTCCTAACTCAATGGAACACCGACGTGTTCTTCCTGGACCAGGTGTCGTTGCCGATTCCGCTCCTGCGCGCGTACTTCAATCGACCCGTGTACTTCTACGGCCACTATCCTGACAAACTCCTGTGCATCGACCGCAGCTCCGTCCTCAAGCAAGTGTATCGCTGGCCCCTGGATACCCTCGAAGAAGCGACCACTCGTACGTTGTCACGACCCATCATCGTCTCCTTACCCTCTTCGTCAAAGGGGCCGCCGACACGATGGTCGTCAACAGCAAATACACGGCCTCCGTCTTTGAAGCGGCGTTTCCTTCGCTACATGCGCGGCATCATCTGAGTATCCTGTACCCCCCCGTGGATATTTCCACGTTTGAACGCCCCGCCACGCTACCGTTGCCGCCGCCCTCCACCACCTCCAATGACAACCAAGCCCTGCTGCTTCGAGCGCTCTCGTTCCCAGCGCTGTTTGTGTCGTTGAATCGGTTCGAACGCAAGAAGAACATTGCGCTGGCCGTGCACGCCCTCGCATGGCTTCAAACTCAAGTGTCCGACACTGTATTTGCTACGGTCCATCTGGTCCTAGCGGGGGGGTACGTCGTACATCCTTGCCAACAACTGGCCTCCATTTCCATGCGACGATGATGATGTTGTTAACATGGCCCTTGTCGCAGATACGACCCGTTGAACGCGGAAAACGTCGCGCACTTTGACGAACTGGCCGAGCTCGTGGCGGCCAAACAGCTGACGAACCACGTCACATTTCTCCGGTCGATCCCGGATGCGACCAAGCTCGCACTCTTGTGGCACGCCCGGGCCATCCTGTACACGCCGTCGTTTGAGCACTTTGGGATTGTGCCGGTGGAGGCGATGGCGTCCGGCACGCCCGTCGTGGCCGTCAACAGCGGCGGGCCTCTAGAGTCCATCGCCCACGATGTCACAGGGTTTCTTTGCGACGCGGAGCCGCCCGCGTTTGGCCATGCGATGCAAGTGCTGGCCACGGACGCCGCCACAGCGACATCGATGGGCCAAGCTGGCGTGCGCCGCGCCACGGACCGTTTCTCCATGACCGTGTTTGCCGACACGTTGGATCAACACATGCAGCGCCTCATCGTCGTGCCGCCCCCCATCGGGCCGACTAAGACCGAGTAGTAGTAGTAGCTGTACTTGGTAGAAATAAAAGACAGACGCAAGTCACTGAATACTGCATTGACAAAATAGACACCCGCGTTCGCCGTGCGTCGACGTCCTCCTCAACTTGACCTCGTCGTCTCGGCACTGCGCCACGTACTTTTGGAGAAGCGGCGCCTGCTCGTAGTAGTGTTTCGACTCGAACGGCGCGTCTTGGATCTTGTCGGACGCCATGAGACGCTGGACGGGCACCGTGCCGACGTTTGCATTCGCCTTGGGGTTGACGGGGGGCAGCTTCAAGTAGGCGCAAATGGGGTTGCATCGATGGGTAGCTAGGAACTTTTTGAACCCGAGCACGCCGAGGTTGCCTTTGCCAAAGTCCCCGCGGTTCAGCGTATGAATCTACTCGACGATAAATATAACGACGATCATGAGATGAAGGAATCGACACAACCAATATACTATGAACCATCGGTAGAAGGATTTAGCCAATCAGAACCATCCTCAACGTCAAATAAGTGTGTGCATTCAATCAGTGTGATACCAATCACCATAGATTTGGCGATTCCGCACATAAGTCCAAATTTTGGGTAAAAGGACACTATAATAAATATTGTACCTGCGGGTCCGTGTACATGTCGCCGACGCCCTGGATGTCGACCGCGAGCAGCTCGTGGTGCGACGCTTCGTACGTGAAATGCGAAAATGCCTGAGGCGTGTTGCGGTCTTCGTCGCTCACGCTGCCAAAGTTGTTGTTGTGCTTGCGGTAGTCCCCGGGAATGTACCGCTCGACTGCGCATAGCGCGCCGTGGCGCTGGGTCAGCTCCAGCACCCACGCCGGTATGAAGTGCACGCGCTTGGGGGGCGCGTGGGCGTTGTACAGGTCCGCGTAATGGCCGCAGTGGGCCTGGAGTTCGATGTCTCGAAAGTACGTCTGCGGGTCTTCGTCTGGATCGATCGCGAGCTTGGCCACATATGACGAGCTCTTGTCGAGGTCGTCGGCGCTGTCGTGATGCATGTGGTAGACGAGGCGGAGGCTGCCTTTGGCAAACGGGGTCTCGTCCAACACGACGCACACCTGAAATGCATGCATGCAGGGTGGAGTGATGGTGAGCTCTCACGATGATGAGGAGCAGATGGTAGTCGAGATGGGATGATGGTAGTTTTTTACCTTGGAGGTTTCCCATCGGCGCGTGTCGTAGTTGAATGTGTGGCGAATTGCTTCCTCGGCATCGAAGCCTTGAAAGTTGGGTGCGTGGGGAATGATAAGTGGCATGCCAGTGGCGTTGTGGAAGTACGGCCTTGACGAAGAAGCTGGGGCGTGGAGTTCGTCGATGATGGCTTTCTTGCGTCGAAGGAATTCGTCTTCGTCGATGAATCCTTGCTCCCGCAGGATCGATAGCATCGATATGCGGGACAAGATATTCTGCTCCGTGTTTTCGACGATTATCGCGTTCTGTGGCGGCACTTCCGTCGGGGTGCATGTCGACCACACCATCGTGTCGTCCATGCTTTTGCTGCTCTCAACGAGCGTTCCTGGAGGTATCACGTGCACCGATAGAGGCAGCGTTGGTTGGGCGACCTCTGTGTCCCCCGCTTGTTGCAGAAGGAGCGCGTCCTTGTTCCCAGTGCGCTTATCCGCGACAACAATCGACGAAGTGGCGTCGACGGTGTTCATCTTGCCTGGCTGCTTGTGTGATTCAGCAGTGCGTTGGCCTGAAATGCTGTGCAAGTGAGCGCTAGACGATCGGCGGCGGTTGCCTCGATCCATCCACAATGCCGCGCAACGATGTGATAGATGGACGAATCAGGGAAGTCGGCACCTACGGTATCTACCGCTGTGTACGGAAAGGCTACTTGATGAAGGTAGTGACAAAACTTCGATCACAATCACATGCAGCATACCATAATCAAGTTACCTGGACTACGAACTTCGATTTTGGCTTCGAGGCAACATCAATGCAAAGCTGTACCAGTACGAGCGACGAGGTCAGTGTGGAGGGGATGACTTCCGAGGAACGAGGCCTTGGCATGCATGCACTCACTCCACAGTCTGGCCATGTCGGCGAATCTTTGTCTCTTGGTCCCAACGTTCATCACCATCCCTACAACAGAGTCCCTTCGAAGCTCTCATGCTTTGTAACACGCATGTAGTTACTGATCTGATGATCGATCGATCGATCATCTATCTACTGTACAGGCATGGTGAATGTACCATGATATTATTTATTCGTTAAACAATTCCCTTCGGGCGAGGGGTGTGATTTGGTGGTGGACGTGCGTCTTGAACAGCACCTTGAACAGTTCCCGATGTTCCTTGGTGATGTCGTTCTTGTAGCGCTCAACAAACGCAAGCAGAGCTTGGTGCCACAGCACTGGCATCTCCCGGGAGTCGTCCACGAAGCTTTCAAAGTGCGTGGCGAGGGCGCCGATCACCCGCGTGGGCAGACTGTACTTCTTGTTGAGCAGAATCTTGATGAACACACTGTTGGCGCCCGAGTACGGCATCTCGGCCAGCTTCATGAGCGTCGCGGCCGAGTGGATCACCGGCACCGACACCTTGGCGAGGGTGGAGCCTATGATGACGGCTTCGCGGATCGAGCAGTTCTGGGACTCGCATAGCGGCAGGATGATGCCCTTGTAGAACGCTTGGGGCTTGTACAGCGCCTTCTTGAGAGCCATGTACAAGTGAAAGTTGAGACGTTTGTTGTCTCGGATGTCTTGGCGACAGTGCTCTAGCAGGAAGATGTTGAAGAAGCGCTGCGCCATCTTCGGGTTGAGGTTGGACGCGAAGAGGCGCGTGGCGGCGCGCATGGCGTGAGGGGACCACTTGTCCGGCTGCGTCATCCACAGGATGTCCTCCCAGTAGCTCAGCGACGGGATGATCTTGAATGCCTTGGGCAGCTTGCCGCTCGTGTATCGCTGCAGGATCTTGCCCACGCCCGTGTACACTTCAATGATCTTGGGGTCGAACGTCTGGCCGCTGGTAGCACCTACCTGGGACATGGACTCGTCCTCGTCGCCGTTGTCGCGGGCTTCCTTTTCGTGGATTTTGCTCATGATGATATCGGCCAGGTTGCGGCGTTCCGGCGCCCCCATCAAAAAGTTGGCGAGCACTTGCTCGTCTTCTTCGCAGATCTCGACGTCTTCCACATACCCGTCTTGCAACCGCACGAGTTCGTCGTCGTCGTCGTCCACCATGTCGTTGAACCCGCCATCGTCGTCGTCGTCGTCGCTGTCGTCGCTGTCAATTGCCAGGTTGGCCACCCTGGCTTGGGGTGCATACGAGCCAGCTTTGGATTGCTGCTTTCGAAACAACAACTCGGCCTCTTCGGCTTGCTGTTCGCGCGCCATGGCCAGCGTCTTGCTCGTGAGTTTGCGAGGCACGTAGGCATCGCCTTCGTCGTCCGATTCATCCGAGTCGCCGCCGCCCTTGTTCGCCTTGTTCTTGTACTTGGGCTTGGCGTCAAATGCAAGTTGCTTCTCAAGCGCACAGGCGCGCTTGGACTTGCCGCCTGCCTTCTTTTCCTTGGGCATATTGAATGAATGAAGGTGCACTTTTGACTCAAATTCGTTGCACCAACCAAAATGGAAAACCAACCACCAATGAAATCCCGTTCCGGAGGCCTTTTACAAATACCCATATGGTTTGATGTGTCAGTTTGATTGGATAAAATACATTTTGCTCTAGGGCGTGGATTGGTCCATTTTTTGCCGTTCGTAATAGTCCCATATTGAAAGCGGAGAAGCAAGCCCTCATGGCAACCGAGAAGCAAAATGCAAACCCGACAGTGTATGCCGTCGACTCGAGCGGAACTGAGCGCAAGAAGGAGAGTGACAACGCTGTAGACGAAGACAATGATGATGTCGACCCGTTTGATGCCCTGGAAGTGTTTGGTACGACAGTGTCAAGGCGTGCACTCGTGACTTCAACATGATAGAAATGCTGAGGCATTTGAACGACCCCGAACATCCGTTGACGCTGGAGCAGCTGAAGGTGATGACGCTTGACAACATTGTTGTCAACGATGTGGACAGCCACGTGAAGGTGCAGTTCACGCCCACGATCCCGCATTGCAGGTATTGAAGCACACTTGTCTGATCATCGCGCACTCATCATCCTTGTATAGCATGGCGACATTGATTGGACTGTGTATCCGTGTCAAGCTGCTGAGGTCGTTGCCAAAGCGCTTCAAGGTGGATATTCGCATCACTCCTGGAGCCCACATCACGGAAGATGCTAGTAAGCAGTCGAACACACACATGTTGATCAACTTGCACAACCTAACGTTCATTCCCATCTATGTAGTCAACAAACAACTTAATGACAAGGAACGCGTGGCCGCAGCACTCGAGAATGCGCATCTTTTGAACGTCGTGGACAAATGCATTGCCAACACCGATGGATAGGCGGCTGCATGTACGCGCAAGAAGAGCATCCGTTGATTCTTAACTAGAGTGCGCTTGAAAGTATACTGTGTCCATGTACAGTACAGTACACACCTACAGTACAAATAGTACTATGCCACTACTAGTATAATACTATTATAGTAAGTTTTTTTTTTTATAATAGTAGGCCGTATCAGAAAAAATACTGTCGATGATGCAGTGCTAAAACGTCGTCGTCATCGTTGACGTTGGTGGTCGTTCGTTTGATTCACGCGGGGAACGAATGCGTAAAGCTAGGAGTTGGGGGTGGTACTGAATGGTGAATCGTGGTGTGCATGGAGCGGAGGCATTGCTCCTGAAGCATTTGCTGGGTCATCCTACGCACGCCATGACGACGATTGAGAATCACACAACAGAAACGGCAATGGGGCCAACACGTACGTGCGCATGGACTGGATGGCGAAGAAGTACAATTGCTTTCCCTCGACAGGAGCGTGGTTTCGGGAAAGATGGTCCGGGGAGACCCCCCACTCGGCCCGACACGCTTGGAGCCACATGGCATCGTCACTTGCCATCCCTCGGAGGTGTTTGCACACTTGGCCGACGGCAGCAAGGGACCGGCCGTCGAGGAAACTCAGCACACGAAGCACACTTTCGTCGTTGATCGAGCCCAAGAGATGCCAGTTCGCTAGCGTGTGTCGTGCGGCAGCTATGGGGTTCAACACAACCCACTCCCTGGACGACAAGATCGGTCGACGTACTATGGTTGCATGGGACTTGCCGCGGTTGTGTGGATGCATTATAGCAGACGAGGACAGGGATGATGAAGGATACCAAATGTTGATAGGTAGATTTCGAGTGTTATTTTAGATTGCTATTTTGGTCCTCGAGGGTGCAATGTAAGTTAAGAATAGCGTGTATGACATACTGTATTCATACTAGGAGCTCAAAGGCTAGGTACTACTATTAATAGTATTTTTATGCTATACAATTCCACACTAATGTTACAAACATATTATATTTTTAATAAGCAAATATGCACTAATACATGAAATATAAATATATATATATTCGAATATAGTCCATTTATACGGATATTTCGAAGTATACTAATAGGCAACGTGGCAATCAAGCAATTAAGGCTACCCACATGGCGAGCAACCTTGGAGCTAAGGAGGCATGTTTGACTCCAATAGCCCTCATGTTCAGTCGAAATTTGGTATGGTACAACACGTAGCACGAACATGCCAAGAGTCGTGAAGGTAAGTACAGTACTGCAACCACACCCTGAGAAAACTGACTGCTCCGGGGGGGTAGCCCCCGACGTGTCATGTTTGAAACGTTCGAACACAACGTTAGCTTTATGGCTAACTAGAGTATCTGCACATTTCACAAACTTGTTATAATGCATAGATTATTGATTTCAAGAGAACAAGCACTCCAACGTACTCCGAGTATGTGTCGGTACTATTATAGTATATTATAGTACTATTATTAATAATACTAGTATTAATAGTATTAATACGGCGTAGTACCAGGTACTACTCTGTACCGGAATCTTCGTCCACTTCTTTTGACTTAATTAAAGTATACCGACAATGACCAAAACATCTTATATTTTGT